TACAACATTTTTTCCTCACTATGCCACACTTGGACATTGTAAACGATTTTTGAAAAAAAAAAATGGGGTTTATGACTAGACCAGTATTAGACATAACTTGGTTGTCCAGGAACTCCGAAAAGCAACATTCAGTATTACTTCGAAGTCACAATTAAGTTTCTTAAAACTCTAACCCATAAAGTACAAAAATACGAGGGGAAAATAGAATGCTATGTGATATCTTTGTATCCACATCACTATATATCATAGAAACAGACAATCCTGACTTACCTACATGTTCAGTAACACCAACTCGAAATTTTATTTCCTTTAATCTAAAAATAAAAATAAAATCGCTTTTTATTTTATACCATGTAATAATTTACTTACGTAGTATCCATTTTGATGTCACCATAACCAGTTAGGAACACATGTATTAATTGGAGAAACTAACACAAAACTGGAATACCTACGTTCAAAGGTTTCATTTAAATGGATTGTGTTGTATCTTATTTAAATGACTATTGTGATAAAACAAAAGATATTGTTAAAACATAATTTAGTATTTTGATTTCTATCGATTTTTTTTAAGCAAAAACAAAAGCTTAGAATTCACTTGAATTAAACGGCCTCTAATCTCGATGGGTACTAATATTTCTTAAATATAGAATAAAATAAAAAAATATTTTTTTTTGCATTAAACTGACCTGAAAGAATAGTAATTTTATTTCTTCATGTTATCATATATAAAATTGTTAACAGTTGTCACAAATAGGACTTAAACTAACTTAATTTATAGTCTATGCGAAACAGCAGAGTGTTGCCTATATGATTGATCTGCTACTCCAGACCTAACTCTTCAATACGGCCACACTAGCATAGATCGACTTGCAATTTCTCCGATATTATGAAAGCATGACTTATCTCCTACTAGGTGAACCGACTTTTAACTGACGTTATTACGGGAAACAACTACTACGTGGACTATGTGCCCCGACAAGCATAATCTAGTAAACAGCTAGTTTATACCAGTTTCGGACTTATTAGTCCTATAAGAGAGACAATTGACAAATTATTATTATTATTAACATAATAAGAGTAGAGATAAGAACCTATAAAATTCAAGAGCAAAAACAATATGAAAAAAGCTAAAATATAAGCACATCTACATAAAAAAAAACAGTACTATTGGTACAATGCAACAGATTAAAAAAGAATAACAATCATGTGGAGCGAAAAAAATGTAAATACAAACAAGTAGTATCAAAAATTAAGTACATTATCAAGTTTGTTTTTAAAAGAATTTATAGAAGAAGCATTTACAACACTGTTTGGTAACCAAATTTCAAGTGTCAGCAAAGCTTCGAACAAATTTGGCAAAGTTTCGAGTTTCAGATGCCGATGAATGTATAACACCTTATAGAATAAAAAGTTTTGCTCTCCTGATTTTCTGCTTTAGCGTCATTATTGTATATATATTGAACTATAGTTTTCGAAAGTTTTATCACTTTTTGTTTATAATTAACATTTTTACAGCAACTTAAAAAAATTGGCGTTTTATACCGTTTTTTCAATCTCACGGCTTTGTTATTGCAAATTTCGTAACCGGACCACCGCCATTTTGTAGCTATTTTTATTACGAACAAAATCATGTCCTAAGCATTTTTTCGTACAAAGTCATCCCGCTCAGTTATTTGAAGAAAACTACTAAAAAAAATTTTTTTTCACGATTAAATTGTTAATAACTTTTTTTCCTGATAAAATACTTTGTCAGCTGTTATTGTACTCATCATTTAAAGTAGACCTGTGTAGTTATTTCCGGGTTATCAAGGTTTGACACACGCCCAACCTCTACCAACTGGACTATTTGTGGAGATCATCTCTAATACCAAAATGATCAATTTTAGAACATATACGTTTAATGCGCACTTTATCAAAGGCTTCGTTAAAATCAAGGTATATGACGTCAGCACACTAACCGCTATCAATTGTGATGGTTCAATCGTTTAAATATTGTAGCAAATTGGTGGTTATTGATCTACCAGGAAGAAATCCATGCTGCTCCTCGGGAATAATTGTATGTAACAAAACAAATTCGGTTACAGTTTCAGTGATAATTCTTAACATAACTTTCACATCAACAGGAGTAAGACTAACCTGTCGATAGTTTTCCTTATTGAGTTTGTCGCATTTTTTATGAATAGCAATTACATCAGCTGATTTCCAGACACTTGATAAAGTAAATGATCCAACTATTATTTTATGTCCCAACTACAGACATGAAATGCTATATGGCCAAATCCGTTCGCCGGGTAGGTTTGGCGATATGTCATGCTTACATAGTATCTGCGAAATAGCCAGATGCTTCTCTGTCAGTGTGGCCATATTGCAGGCTTAGAAATTGAATAGCAGAGACTGTGATATGTCTCGCCCACACTCACTCGATTTATGTAGTAAAAATAGTAATAATCCGGGCGAATTAGACCAAACACATGCCTGTTTTATAAATCGGGTCTACCTCGAATTTTATGGGCTTAAAATTAAGTAAAAAATGCACAGAATAAAATAAATTTGTGTATCTGTAGAGGTCGAGCGTCATATTGTTTATAACAAGAGAAAAAAAATGATTGACCTTTTTTCAGTTTTCCGCTTACATCTCCGAAAATATGCCTCTAATCGACATCGACATCTTCTACTTTACAAAGAGACCAAGTTTATTACAAAATATTAAATAGAACAGCCAAAATACCGTTTAAAGAAAAAAAATTGTCTCGGCTCCTATTGGTCGGATAGAGACGCTTTTTTTTTAATTCATGTTTTTTTAAGCACTATTTGATGCAATTGGTTTGAAATCTGTATATTAAAAAATCGCCGAGATAAGGACCCAAATTTCCGTTTTTTTTGGTTTTTTAATAACTTTTTTATTTTGCAACTTAAATTTCTGAAATTTACACAGACGCGAGATAATGTAATTACCTTTCGATACCTTAACTTGGACAGAAAATATACGCGCTCGCGCTTTCGACTTTATAATTTTGCAATAGGCCGCCATTTTGAAATTGGGGGTCCGGATTGCGGGTATTTGTTGAGCACCCCAACAGTTAACTTTTCCTGTAGTTTCATCCAATTTCAGTCAAATTCGTTCTTTTTATTTAATGCTGAAAATTTTGCATATTTTTGTTTCACCGCTAATTTTGCAATGTAAAAAAATGTTTGCGAGCTTTCGCAAAAGCCTATCCTTGTAGCAAGTTTCCTCAGGAACAAAATCGATAAGGATACCTCATGTCGATTAGAGGCCTATTTTTGGAGATATAAGCGAAAAACTGAAAAAAGAGCAATTTTTTTTCTTTTGTTATAAACAATATGACGCTCGACCCCTACAAATACACAAATTTAGGCTTTTATTCTGTGCATTTTTTACTTATTTTTAAGCCCATAAAATTCGAGGTAGGACCTATTTTAAAAAAAAAATCTAATTTGCCCGGACTATAAAGGCATTCGATAGTTTTCACATCTATGGCATACTGATGACTAATAAGTCCAAAATACGCATGGCACGTGGATTCAATAACTAAACGCTGGTCGGTATGTAGTCTGCAGAGTAATTGTTTCCTAACATCAGCATTTAAAATTTATTTATAGTCGTCGGTTATTTCATGATTTTATTATCTTATCTGTATTAATAAATTATTTTTTCTTTTGAACAGAATTATGCATTAGATATGAAATCTGATATCAGCTGATGTACTATCAGCCAGAACCGGGTCATATGTTGTAATTTATAAATTTTCCCAGTCTCACCTTCCTTATTTTTCAATTATTTAGCTGTCACTATAACGTCCCATATATTATCTACATTACATTTTAATATTGCATTTTTTTCAGGGTTATGATCTAATGTTATATGCAAATATCTGAACATTGAAAACCGACACAAATGTAGCTATAACACTTGATGTACCTACTAGACTTTTAGTCTATACATTTAATTGTGTAGAATTCGTAAAAGATTATAGGGATTATAGTGTGTCTGCGTCAGTCTAGCGATCTATCAAACATTGTAAATTAGCTATCTCTTTAGATTTATTTTAAAGTATGATTTTTTAGGAATAAAAACTGAGATTTTAAGATAAGTGTTCTCCTGGAGATATAGCCTTTCTATATAGATTTTGTTTGTTTGTCAATTAATGGGTATAATTATACGTAGGTATAAAATTTTCGAATTAGATTTTAATTTACCAAGAAAGAGTTAGTTCTGCATCTTCATTATTTAGTCCCACCCAATCTTTTATATATCTCTTCTTATATTTATTTTATCTATAAGTATAACCTGGAGAGTACTTTTTAATGGTAGGTAGAGGGCATTAATACTAAGTATTTTCACTAGTCAAAATCGTTGAAGCTGCAAAATGGCGTTTAAAATTAATAATAATCAACCTTATTAAACCTTATTGAGAACTTCTGGAATTGTTCCTGCGTTACATACTACATAAAAAAGGGGATTATTTGTGGTTGGTTGTAAAAGGCGTGTTATTGTAAATTGATAACTAATTCAATTTTAGGTAATTATCAGTTCTATTTTAATTTTCGTTCTGGAAACGGGCGTCTTTTTTGTTAAAATTATTCGTGATCAAACGTTCCAGTAATGTCTTGATTTTTAGATCCTTATTTCAACTGTGCTTTTATGAAATGACAGCATACCTTTGGTGTGTGTTAAAATAATAATTGAAAATATACATTCTAAAATGGAAATGGCCCATAATACAGTAACAATACTAAACAGAAGTGATAAAGTATAGAAACGCCGATGAAAACTGAAAATTAACTTCACATATTCAAGTACAATTATTTGTAAACAACACTTGTCAACAGAGGCAGAACTATCGGTGGAATCAGCGGTTCTAAAAAAGTTTCTCGTCACTATGATAAGTCAGTGGGTATTAAAAAAATATTCTATCTGCAAAAAAATGTTTCTGCCAATCGAGTTTTGCGCATTATGTCAATAATAAAAAGACTACACACACACACCACTTATTTATTAACACCATTTATATATACATACAATTTATAACTCCTAGTACACACATAACCGTATATCCCAATAATACAAAACACACACATAAGATGGTTATTGTTACTTATTTTGTTATTATAAAGTATACTGTTCATATGAATTACAGGAATTAAGTAGTGTATTTTCGACTGTACTTGGTCCATCTGAAAAGAGAAAAATAGTACTACCTGGTCTAAAATCAATACGGCGTAAAACCTACCAAATAAATAAAATTTTGGTTGGCTAGGATCGGCTTCTGTTCTAGCCGAAGCCATGGCATTTCTGATAGCTAGAGGGATGCTACAAGTAACGCAGATGGGCGGTTCAGCAATAGCTGTAAGTAAAAATATGTGTAAAATATATTACTTAAAAATTCTTTCTTTAAAAACTCGTAACAGAAATATTTATTTAAAAAATGTTGTGTTTCTTACCTTTAGATCTCAGCACTCCTTCAGGGTTCGGGTTGTTTTCGGGGAATTTAATCCTTAGGTTGACAGGTATATCTTTAGCACCTGGAGGAGTGTAATACCAAGTTCTATTGGTCAAGATTCTACCTTCTTCATTAGTAACTATTTGTTCAGTTGTATAGTAACCAATACCTAAAAGTAGAAATATAGTAATGAGACATGTCAATGTTACATGAGTATAGCTGGACAAAATGAAAAAATAAAACTTTTTACAAATATTCTTTAATTGCTCTATCAATTTCCAGGCTACAATATTATAATTTTCTTTCCTGATGACGTGAAACAATATATTACTTGTTAAAACCGACAGCATAATTTTCAGTCATTGTAGAAACACAGACAATATACTAGCCCCAGTCCGCTACTGGAATAGAACAACAGTTTTAAATTTCCGAATTGCCGATAGAGTACACCACCAGCAGAATTTTAGGAAGAATCAAAGGCAGCAGCTCGCATTCCTACGTGTATCCTAGCAACATATAAGCAACTCTTTGGCAATGTTGCCAGGCGTACTTACGGATTTATTTTGTACACTTTTTTATCAATATCTGTTTTTTGCTTTACTGTATTTACTTAAATATATGATGTAGGTATTTTAAAGAATCGACGAATATCTATGTAGGTAGTTTCATATGATATTCTGCAGCGGTGTCACAGTTAGTATTATTTGATATTGATATACTGCAGAAAGTATTCCCAAATAAACAAAATTCGTAATGATATTTTAAACACTTATAGGTTTGATAATTAAATATAGAAAAAAACTTTAAATGCAGTTTTTGCCGTAACTCGGAAATGGCTGGAAATATAAATAAATCTCCCTTTGGTTCTGAGTAGAGCACTCGGTGGGTGAGGCAGAGCGGAGTGTCACAATATATGAAAGAAAAAAAACAGTATTTGCTTGTACCTCGGAAATGACTCGAAATATCAAAAAATCTTCCATGGTTCGGTGGGACCAACGGTGTGTGACATCATAGAATAAAAAAAGTATATATAACTCGGAAACGGTGCGTTTAATTGAAAAAATAATTTAAAAAGTCTCCCCTACATCTCTGGTTCTGATTGTCCGTTCTGCATTGAGTGCAAAACGTTAAAAACTTAATATGTCGAAAATAAATTTTGGAAACAAGAGGAGTGTGACGTCATATAGTAAAAAGGTCGTATAACTCGGAAACGGTGCGTTAAATCGAAAAAATAATTAAAAAAATCTCCCCACACCTTATGGGTTGTGATTATCCGTCCTACGTTGAATGGAAAAGGTCCAAAATTTTATTAAATAATAAATTAAGGTACTATTCTTAAGGAAATTTTAAATTTTTATAATTTTTTTGAAATAAATAATTAATTAGGTAAATTCATAATTACTTGATTTATTTTATTTAGCATTTAACACAAATGTCATTACCAAACAAAATATAAGTTCTATATAACTCTTCAATTACATAATTAAATGCATTAAATTTATTTGGCAGTTATTATATGGCAACAAAGCCACCGCTAGAACTGCCACCTATTCCCGAGTAGAAGAGTTACCACGCTAAATATTGCTGGATGCCGGCTAACAAGACCCTGCATCATTTTTAGGTTGCCAATTTATAGCTTTAATTCACGGTCTGAGGCGATAAACTATATTGTCTGTGGTAGAAATATTGTGTTTGAAATCTACATATTTGTAACAGTTCGATAATCAATTACGTCGTTGAGTTGTAAATTTTTTTTGTTGTTATTAAGACAAACGATTTAAGAACATACCCATTGCTACCGCTCCTTCCACTTGACCAATGTCAATGAGAGGACTGATGCTTTCTCCAACGTCTTCAATCATATCGTATCTTGAAATCAGTTTCTGACCAGTTAAAATATCAACTTCTACTTCACTTGCGTTTACACCATAAACTACATACCTCGGGAAACCTGGTTCATTTGGAGAAAAGCTAAATAAAAGAAAATGTGGTTTTTTATCTGTAGACAGAAATGTTTTTTTATTTAACTAAGGTATCCGCAAATTTTGAGGCATCATGGTTACTGGCATATTAAGAAAAAAGAGGTAAATGGGTGAGAACAATGCTTAGTCTTTCGTTAAGGGCGCCATATTCTTTAAATAGTGTTTTCTGCAAAGACAAATAATTTCAAACATTTAATAACTGAATAATCTAAAGCTTATCAAATAATAGGAATGTTATGTCATGCCATCTGGATATTTTCAAAGACGCCGCAGTAAAACGAATAAGCAGGTGCAAAAAACGATCAAACCATCAAGGAAGGTTTTAGGTAGTGAAATCTACGAAAATACCAACTTTTTTATATACAACTCCACATGTAAATATTCTTATAACATTTACTTTCTTAATCCTACATATGAAATTGTTTGCTTTTATTTATAAGTACGTAAAAATAATTCTTAAAATGTGGGGTTAGGATAACAGCAAACGCATGTCTTACAAATGCTTTTTTTTTAGTTACTATTTTATTTGAGTAAATTTAAATAGTAACAATGAATAAACAGAACAACAAGGATTTTATGTTTGTGCTTACTTTTGTTCTATACGTTTTACTTTTCAAGATTTTAGTATCTAAAAACGCCAGAAATTTGACTATTTCTCGACCAGGGATATAGCCACCTTAATGAGAATTCGAATTCCAAATATTGACAAAAACTTTTAAAAGAAAAAAAAATAACAAAACTAACTAAATTTTGTTATTTGAAATTTAAGACCACTGCAAATAAAACAATATTCAAAATAGTACGTTACAAAAATTAGCCAACTTAATTTTTACTCCTATAACACATTTTAGAACATCACATCTTTTATATGCAAAATTTTTTATGGATATATTGTTATATATTACATTTAGTCTCACATCAGGAACTCTTTCTTCTTCAAGAACAAAACAATTCCAACTCTCTGCAGGATAGTTTGTTTTATTCTGTGTAACTGTATTTGTAAATTTCATTTTTGAGATTTTGTATCGAACTTGTTTTAAATTTCACCACATACCTGGTTGCAAAGTCATATACGTTACAATTAAGTGATTTTAATGATATAACAAATTAAAAACATCTAAGTTCTAAGTTAGTCTAACTCCGGAATATTTTTTTCAACAGAAACTAAAGGAAACCATGAGACCAAACTTAGATGTAATACGTACTTGCCAAAGAAAAATTCAAATTTGGAAGAAATCAAGGTCGGAAATAATGAAAACCTGAAACCCATCTTATTTTATACCAAAACGTATTTTTGCAGTAGCTTGACGTTCTCCGTTTTCGAGAATGGAAAGATATTTTTCTGTTGGCCCTTTAGTTTTATTAAAGGTTTAAAAATGCTGCGCAAAATTTATATTATTAGAAACTCCACTTGAAAATGACGGGGCCGTGGCCTAATTGGGGACCTGGTTTTATATGTTATAAGTAGATACATTATAAAATTTTCACTCTCAGCTGCTATGACAGGAATAATAGGTATACTTACAATCCTGACGCTGTAAGTTGTATATTTGCAGCATAACAAGCATTTATTAAATCCGCCCAGGCAGGATTTCCTCCTAAACTTTCCTTTATTGGCGCCATTCGTTGAATTAACATGTCACAAGCTCTCAACACACCCTGCAAAGGAAATGGAATGGAAATGGAATGGATCGCATATGTTCAGTTGAAAATGGGCACTACTTACAAAACAAACTCCCTCACTTGTTATGCTGCCCCCACTCGCCATAGAATTTGGTGCTATGACGTTGTAGCTTGGCTTGACAGTAATCAAGTCTATTGGTATTCCAAATTTGTAGGCACATGATTGAATTGCCTGAAAAAATGTGAAATACGAAGAACTGATGTACTAAGTGGCTGTTCTCTGATAAATAATTGACCCATCTCCCTTTTCCCTGGTTTTTATCATAATCGTAAAAATGAGTGTTATTAGCTGGCAAAAATTTTGTGGTTAAGAAAAACTAAAACATAACTTCTTTTAACACCACTTTTATTGAAATAAATACAATTATCAAAAAAATATTTTCTTTTAGTCCTACCTTTGTATTAATACCTTGTCCCATCTCTATACCACCATGAGAAATCACCACTCCGCCATCTCCATGGAATATCGAAACTAACACCGTATAGTTCACTGCAAAATCCAACGTCCATGCCATCGGCACCAAAGACATACCTTTCTTTTTCCATCTGTTAGCCTACGAAATATTCAACTTTTCAACCTTGACTAGTAGAAAACAAAAAATCACAATAAAGCCACTAATAAAAATTTATTGATGCCTTTAATGAATGACAAACTGATACCACTGAGAAATATATTGATGATATTCACTCAGATGTTTTACAGTATTTCAGATAGATAAATGAATTCTTTTTCATTATCTGTATCTCTTGTTTTAAAAATTAAATATTGTACACAAAAATAAGAGTGACCCAGAGAAACTGGTGCAAGTGAAGAATCCAGTCGACAGTCAAGATCCGTGGTGGATTGACCAGTTTTAACTAAACGTTATATTATGTTCATGACAATAAGATAGAATTGAAAGAGTCCCATTTGGTTCATAAGGGAGGACAACAATTAGAACATGTCACATAAAACGTCACATTAATATTAAATAGTAATTTACCGCATTATAAGCTGCTATTTCCTGTTTTCTGGTTGGTATTTCACCCCATGTTTGCATTTCATTCCACAGTTCCACCAGCCAGGGCTAGGCTCTATCCCTTACTCAAAGGTGGAAACACCCTCAGTTTAAGGAATAAGCGAACGCTTATCAAGGTGGTACTTCAACCGCAGCTAACCTACGCCTCCACGGCGTGGGGTCACGCGGCAAAAAGCCACTTAAAGTCATTACAGGCTGTGGAAAACATAGCCCTCCGCACGGCCACCGACGCGCCCTGGTACGTAAGAAACACTGACATATTACGAGACTTACAATACACAAACGCTACACAGACAATAAGACAAAACGCGGAGAAACGATTTGACGTAGCCGCTAGACATGACAATCCCCTCCTCAGGCAAGCCGTTGACTACGTACCCGACGTAACCGACAAACACAAAAGACCTAGACACCAACTTTTTGACCCTGGGTGACCACCCCAATGACCCCCCCCTGCCCGCTAACCTTTTCTGTTTCAGAGACAGCCAGGATCAAGAAACGAAGACAACGACACACACACACACACACACACACACACATACACACCCCCCATACCCTCCTTAACCCTCCCCTCCCGCGCTAGCCTAAAGGCCACCTTAGCAAAGCGCATCCCAGGCTGCATAGCCGCACTACCCTACCCAACCATACCACACATAAACATGACACTACCCCCGGGGTTTACACAGACGAGCCGGCGAAGCAAGAAGAGCGCCAGAAGAAAGGGCCCTAGCCGGCGGGGCCCAGCCAGGACAAAAGGAGGTCCCACAAAGCGCCTACACCGGCCGCATTTGCGGTCGGGGTAGACGACGGATGGGGCCCACCTACGAAGGCTGTCCAGGCCTACACGAGATGAGGCAGGATAAAGAGGGATAATCCCCCTCGATCCCAAATCATTGAGGCCAATTTCTAGCCATAGAATAATGGCGCGAGTTCCACCAGTTTTGGATGGTTAACCGTATCGAAGTTAGCTGCCTTTACCGCCGCTGTATCCAGATTCACAGTATAAGCTATTTGCTCCATGATATGCTCTATAGCCGCTAAACCCTCCACAGAACCTAAAATTAAATAGGCTTAACGTGAATTGACTATGTTCTTTTTGTAATTTTCTAAACTAGTCGAGATATTGATTGAAACCCAGGTATTTTATAGTTATCTTGTTAAAAAATGTCGAACCCTTTTTATTTAGAAGTAGAACTACAACTTGCATGAAGTGAAATTATAGAAGTACTGGATGTACTATCTCGGAAGGAAAAAATCGTTTTTTCTTACCTGGAGCTCTAGTCCAGCAATTAGCGTGAGTGTCAGTTTTGACTATGTGACTGGTAAAGTTCCAAGTGCTGGTGTCGTAGCAATTTTCGAACATATCGATAAGAAAAGGGTCAATGGATTCGTTCCCCCCGACACCAAAATCGCTGTACAAATCGGTCTCCAAATACTGAATAACGCCCTGGGCGTTAACTCCGGCCTCGTAATTGGCATAGAGAGGATATCGTTTTCCAATGGTAGTCATATTCGTCTCCATGGGCAGCCAGATCTTGACGGGTTTGTTAAGTTTATGGGCAGCTAGTGCACAAGCGGTAGAGACAAGGGTGTTTCTCATAATTTTAGCCCCAAAGGCACCTCCCAGTCTTCGTACTTTTACGTTAACTCTGGAATCACGTTTAAATTTAATAATAATAGCTTTTTTAGCAGACTATATTGAATAATCCATAGTATAAGTTATACCTTATATTTTATTCGACATCAATGCTTTTTCACTATGCTACTAGTATATTACCTGCTAGTGGGAATATTTAAAGCTGCTGCACAAGCAAGCTGGTTTAGATCCATCCACTGAGACGATGGATATAAATCCAAGCTGTCTTCAGTGGGGACAACATTACAACATTGTGCCTCCATGTGAAAATGATACTGCATGCCTATATAGAACGTCCCTTTAATAACGTGAGCTATATCAGTACCTAAAATTTGAAAAACACTTCCTTCAGAAGACAATTTGAATTAAATGAAATTATCAATTAATACATGACGTAAAATGTTAAATTTTGGATCTGTACTAGCAGTACATACCCTGTGTTTTTGCCACCACAGTTGTAACCGCTTGAATTCGCGAGGTATCATTCGCGTCGAGTACTTCTTTAATATTCAAGTAAGGCCTTTGGACAGGTGCAGAATAAGTGACTTCGACTAATTCAACAGCTTTGACAGCGAGGTCGTGGGTTTTCGCAACTATTATTCCAATAGTTTGGTCGTAGTACTGGACCCTTCCACTACAGAAAAGTTCTTCCTGAACCGTAAGACTGGTCATGGCTGGAATAAACGTATTCTCTCCTGGAATGTCATCCTTGCCAAAATATGCCACCACACCCGCTGTCGCCTTCAAAAAATTAATATTGTTTTATTTTTTATTCAAATAAATCATTCATAAAAGGAGGAAAGGATCATAGAAAAATGAACAACCAGTACTTGCGACTTTATTTCAATAATTCTTACCGTTCATATTCCGGAGCTTCCAGTAAATAGTTCATTAAAACCAATCTAATACATAGAATATCAATAAGTTAATAATATATTAATATACCTTTGAGTCCTATACAATCTTTACTATGTCCATTGATACTTATGGTGTAGTGATCAATATCCTATTAGAGTATCGCATCCCGATCACAAAGAGGTTTGCTAAATTTACCGAGACAGATTGCAAATTCTCGAGCAGGTAGTTTGTGTAATTTGTGTTGTGGACACTATCTTACCTGTAGCAAAAACTAGAGAAGATCTATCGTCAGAATTAATAACTCTAATTAACAGAACACCAACAGCGTGAAAAACATGCCCTTTCATGAATAGTGACTTTTATCATGTCGCTTTGTTATCACCATCATCACCTATGCCTGAAGTATGCTGGAGGTTTTCTCTTTTCATTAAATGACCAACGTTAGCTACATCCAAAAAAGTCTGAAACTTTATGTCATGAAGTTATTTATTATTGGTATAGTATTAATTTTTCTCTGTTTGTTGCAACTTGTGAAAAAAATGAATGCTATAATCATACTATGACCGCCAAAATCCCAATATTTTCCACTATTGGACACATGGAGCATATCGATTGGAGATTGAACCTGTACAGTAAAAAGTATTGAATAAAATCCCTTGTACTGGAATTTCGTTTTATATGTCACTCGTAGAAAGTTAAATACCAAAGCTTTGGATGTGTCAACGGATAGAACATACGAATTGGCCATCGCCTTTGCCGTAACTAAAGCAGCAAACAGTTGATGCGGTCGATCAGGCATATCGATGATATACTCGGCTTGACCTGAAAATTTTAGTATTTATTAAATTCGTCTCTAACTGTTCTATGGATGTATAAACTATATTCCTGTTATTTATTTTAAACCATAGCCAGCCTAGTTAATCTTATTTTTTCCATTTAACTGAGCATTGTGCTAAAGCTTCAACTTTAATGATGGGCTCTGTAACAGGATAGTTCTCCGGATTAGTACCAAATTCTTGGATTCCCGTAGATAGTGGCCTCTCAAGAAGTGATCCTCCGCTTTTATTTCTGCTTGATACCAGATCATCTGGGGCAATACTTAGTACGAACTACACATAAACAAAAACCAACAAACAACAATTAGAGATTAAAAAAATAAGTCTTGCCACATAACATTTAATGAAGTTTCCTATTCAAAACAATCGGATAATTTCTACAACTGTTAAAATAAAAGCGACAAATTCAAAGAGGAACTGTACCTTATAAAACAGAGACACAGCTAACATTTTTCGAAATTCTGGAGTTGGATCGGGTAGAACATGATCAGGTTGTATTTCAGCGTCCAAAACTTGGAATGCTTGTCTCAAGACATCGTTATTGAATAAAATCTTTCCTGATAAGAACGTTTCCAGACTCGAAGCGTGAACAAACTGAGGGTTGATGGCCCCATATACAATTCTTGCCGATACGACAGTTTGGTAGTTCAATTTTAATAGAAAGCCGGCGTTCACAAGAGCATGAGTATTTTGTGCGCGACCCATTATCTAGAAAAGGTACAGTAGAGAATTTAATAGCATTTTTAATGTAAATAAATTTCGATATACCTTGTACGTCTCGTATTTGTAAGTGGAATTCAAAGCACTAAGAACGACCTGCTTTATGACCCTTTTGTTCATATCTAAAGCAAGAAATTCTTTAGGGCTTACTTTCACTTCATTCCCTTTTGAATCAACTAAAAAAAAAAATGAAATCGAAACCTTCTACATAAAAAGATAGTATGGTTATATTTTAATTATTCGCTGAATGAAAAATATCTTTATAAGGCAAATGTATCAAACCTTTATAATCTTACCTATTACCATAACTGCGTTAAAAGTTTCCAAAAGCAGAAATATATCGGATTGAAATTCATTGTGATAATATTTAATCATCAGATTTCCAGCTAACGTACCAATCTATAATAAAAGATATTGGTATTTTATATTTCCATAACTATTACAAAACTGATACAGAAATAAAATAATGTGAAGGCAATTTGCATTTTCGCACATTACATCAAACTATTTTAATCAGTAATGCAGGGTTAAATTAACTTACATTTCGCACAGCAACATTTGCTACTAATGCAACATGTTTGGCCATGGTCGTCAAGTATGCAAAGTTCGCATTTCCTTCAGCTACTTCTTTGAAAAGCTCTATAGCGTTATTTAGCGCGAAGTTTCCACCTATGGTTAGCGTAGTAGATGTCACGGAGTAAGATGTTAGTTGAGTTACACTTGCCACATCGATATATACGTCTGGNTCACAAGAGCATGAGTATTTTGTGCGCGACCCATTATCTAGAAAAGGTACAGTAGAGAATTTAATAGCATTTTTAATGTAAATAAATTTCGATATACCTTGTACGTCTCGTATTTGTAAGTGGAATTCAAAGCACTAAGAACGACCTGCTTTATGACCCTTTTGTTCATATCTAAAGCAAGAAATTCTTTAGGGCTTACTTTCACTTCATTCCCTTTTGAATCAACTAAAAAAAAAATGAAATCGAAACCTTCTACATAAAAAGATAGTATGGTTATATTTTAATTATTCGTTGAATGAAAAATATCTTTAATAAGGCAAATATATCAAACGTTGAAATTTATACTCTTACCTATTACCAAAACTGCGTTAAAAGTTTCCAAAAGTAGAAATATATCGGATTGAAATTCATTGTGATAATATTTAATCATCAGATTTCCAGCTAACGTGCCAATCTATAATAAAAGATATTGGTATTTTGTATTTCCACAACTAATACAAAACTGATACAGAAACGTAATAATGCAAAGGCAATTTGCATTTTCAAACTATTTTAATCAGTAATGCATTGTTAAATTAACTTACATTTCGCACAGCAACGTTTGCTACTAATGCAACATGTTTGGCCATGGTCGTCAAGTATGCAAAGTTCGCATTTCCTTCAGCTACTTCTTTGAAAAGCTCTATAGCGTTGTTTAGCGCGAAGTTTCCACCTATGGTTAGCGTAGTAGATGTCACGGAGTAAGTTGTTAGTTGAGTTACACTTGCCACATCGATATATACGTCTGGAAGGGTTGTTACTCTGTAAACACCTATAAACATGAAAATTACTCACTTCAATAATATAATTATAAATTAAGAAATCAATAAAGCAGTAATAAATTAATAGTATCACCTTTTGCAGTATATCCAGCAACCAACATGTAAGTTTTTGTCCCTAATGTGTTTAAAACCAGCAATAGTTGTTGCAGTGTGTACACTTTTATCCAGACATAAATTCCATCAGTAAATTTGTAACTTACTTTATTCTTGATGCACTTCTCTTCACATTGATTAAGACATTTGCCCTTGTTACATGGTTTCGTATCTTCGATATCTGCCAATTTCTGATCTGAACATAAAAATTATTAGTTACTTCCCAGTTATACTCAGATTAACATATTCAGATCAAATTAATTACAATTTATAATGTTAATATAATTCAACAAAAAAATTAAAATCCTAACGGCTTGTAACGTTAATTCTTAGAATACAAAATAGCATTTTTATTCTTATACGTACTAGCATCTGAAGCTAATTGTCTAAACGCTTGCAAAATGGGCCTGTATCCAGTACATCTGCAAATATTGCCACTGAAAGCATCCTCGATCTCTTGCTGAGTTTTTGGACCGGATTCGTTCAAGGCATACATATTCATAACCATTCCAGTGGAACAAAATCCGCACTGCGAACCGTTGTTGTTCGCCAACAGTTTCTGGATAGGGTGGTATCCATCTAGTGGCCCACCGATACCTTCAATGGTATGGATTTTCCATCCTTGAGCAGAAAATACAGAGACCAAGCACTAGAATGTTAAAACTATGTCAGAAAACAGTTAAATGTAATAAGTGTTACTGCATCATCATAATATTCTAACAATCAAGTCGTTAAATCAAATGAAGCAAGAAGCTTTCAGCTACTTTTAGAAACAGGTATGTTAAAACAGCAGTTTTGTTTTAAAACGGAAGCAATATTGTTAACTATTTTAGCAATTGAACAAATGTTTTCCATTGTTTTGAACTGAGTATGTACTGATTAAAGACTATAGTACCAAAATTGAACTTTATATTCCAAATAAAAGGTAAGATTTTCAGGAAAAGCATCATTTCATATTCATTAAAAGAAAACCAAACATTTAGTTCTCGCGCACATGAAGTAAATGCTTCAACATTTTAGAAGTAGCTCTGAAGCAGACTCTTGCCGTACGCATTCAAGTGATGCGACTGAAGATAGTGAAACTTTAAGCTCGCAATAAAGATGAAAGTGTTTTGGACTTAATAATAATTTACGAACATCTAAAAATTTACAGAATTATTTGCTTAATACTCGGCATATGGGATTTCTTGAGAATCTTTCCTCACTTGGTTTAAAAAGACTAAAGTAGATTTATCCAATTACGAAAGTCTAAATTCTGAGGATAACATTTTATTTACAGCAGTGTTTGGATACTGTTTTGAAATAGATGCTGGACTAACATTTCTCGATGTGCGTATATGCAAAAAAAAATAAATAAAAATATACATTTTACTATTTTGTATTCTTTCTTAATATTTTTGTTTAGCAAAAAGCACTTGCTTCATAAATAGAGAATGACTGAATGATTTCAAGGTTGGTTATTATGTATGTGTTCTATTTGCTGCAGTACTGGTTTATCGCATTTCAATTCATAGTTTGAAGTTATTAGCCATGTGATATTTCTGTCTTGATTGTTACGAATAAGTTTCTATATTCCAGGTAATTCTTGGCCAAGATTATGTAATATAAATACCCTCTGCTGATTTATATACGTTTAAATTTTACTTAAAATAACAACGTAAAGAAATCAACAGTTTAAAAGACATAATAGATATAAGGCATTTAATGGAAGTATACCATAATTTTGGTGAGAGATGAATTTTGAAACCACTCATAAGTGGTTCATTTATTTAAGTAGTGTATGTGATACATGTGATTCCGAACGCTCCGATAAAATTGTCGAATTATTAAAACAATAATTTATCCTAATATATTTTATTGTAGTCAAGTTTATTACCGTTTTTTACCAGAGTATAATAAACAAAAAATTCAAATAATTCAGAATGCATGCATCAGGTTTGTTAGCTTATAGACAACATATTACTCCATATTTAAGAAGATTATCTGAACCTAACCTGTCTATAAAAATTGAATATCTTTTAATAATGTTTCTATATCGACTCTGTAAAAATGAAATGCTAAAGTATTTATTTAATTTACTTTCCAGAAATTCTGATGTGCATGGTGTCAATTTAAGAACTAACTTATACATTATTCCTCAACATTCTACATCTAAATTTACAGGTTCATTTTCATATTTGGCACCGACATGTTTAAATAAGGTACTGAATTTTCTTGATTTGACACCGGGACTTCTTATAAAAAAAACTGAAACAATTACTTTTAGGTAATCAACTGTATTGAATTGTACTAAATTATATAGGGGATAAATGTTATATTTCAATATTTATTCAAATTTTTTTATGTTTGATGTTTGTTTGTTTGTTATTTTGTTGTTACATATGCTATTTGTTTTTGTTTTTTGGGTAGAGTGGAAGAATGGCTTACGCCAAAACTCTTACCCTTTGTGCAAACTACTTTTTTTTTGCTTTACCTTGCACAATAAATATTATTATTATTATTATTATTATTATCATCAATGACTAATAGATCACACCCAGTGACTTCTACTTCATGAAACAGAACTCAATAAACCAGCCGACATAGTAAATATACATACAAACCGACCACTATAAATAAATAAATTAATTAATTAATTAATTAATTAATATTTGAAACGTCAAAAAGTCTAAATCGTCTCGTCGACGTGGTAAACTGCCCTGAAATCGTTCAACCAACGACAATTGCCATTAAAGCTTGCAAACCAGTCTAAATGGAAGAGTTTTATACTGTTTGACCGCGCCATTATTCCATGGCTAGAAATTGGCCTTAATGATTTGGGATCGAGGGGGATTATCCCTCTTTATCCTGCCTCATCTCGTGTAGGCCTGGACAGCCTTCGTAGGTGGGCCCCATCCGTCATCTACCCCGACCGCAATGCGGCCGGTGTAGGCGCTTTGTGGGACTGTTTGAAGCAAGACGACCTAAGATGGACTATCAGCTGGTTGATATTTGAGAAGTAAAGCATTTGGAAGCTAAGAAGATGCTCCGAAGTAAAACCATTTCATTATTCATATAAATTGAAGATTGTGCGCTCCACTTTTTCTCATACTATACGATCCTTATTAAGAACTAAGTTAATATCGAGATTACAGTATACAGGGTGTCTCATAACCCTGAACAGGCCGATTCTATGATCAAAACTAAGTAAAAATGTTCATATGAACATGGGTCCGGAAATGCTTCCTAAGGGCACAGGGACCCATTGAAGAGGGAGGAATGGAAATTACTTAGTTTTGATCATAGAATCGGCCTGTTCAGGGTTGGCAGCTAATTATGAGACACCCTGTATTATCTATAATACAATAATTAATCAAACTTTTCTGATTTTGGCGATACTCACGGAATTAACAGCAAACACCCGTTTCGTATTGCCAACAGCTTCTTCTACCGCAACTACGCAAGTACCACATCCTCCTTCCAAACATAATTTCTTCGTGCCTGTAAGGTGGAGGTAATCCCTCAAGTAAGTGTTGAGCGTGGTTTCCGGGGTGACCTCACCTGTTTTAACTGTAAGTAAAAAATTAATAAAAATTTCGACATTCCCTAAAATTTATTGATTCAAATTCCTTTTATCTTTTCAGTATCAAAGGTTAGCATGAGAAAGATTTTAAAATAATACAAGAATCACCAAGACTTTTAAAAATTATATCTATACATAAGAAAACGAAACAAAAAAATTCGATGAGTGTGCTCTAGATAATTTATGCCTTTAATATGTAGGTAGTTTAAATATTATCAATTGTCATGCTATTGAGTAAAGTTTACGTGACGTGACAAGTTCAACCAATAACGTTTGATATCTATGGCTCCATATTCCAAAAATGTATTTAATCATTGTAATAGCGCTCATTTATACCCTCATAAAAAACTGCCGATATATGCTGTATAAGGATATGACATCCACATTATAAAAAAATTATAAATATCATTTCAATAAGATTGTATATAAAACAAAAGTTTACAATGAAAAAACATTAGGTGAAACAAATTTAATTGAATTCAATTTTTATCGTTTCAAGTGTACTTCAAGTGGCCTAATTAAACATTGACAATAATAAAAGCGAAGAGAAAATTCATTTGTTTTAAGGAGTTTAGACAAGTTCTAATAATAGAGTCAAATACTTCATAAATGTGATAAATGCTGCTTAAGGACATATTCAAATACAATGTTAATGAAAATATGTGTATTTTTGTACTCCTATAAGTGGTTATGTACAGGGCGTCTCACGATAAATTAGGCTTTACTTTTTTAATTTTATAGGGATATTTTTTAATTTAATGTTTTTTTACAGGAATATGAAATCTATAAAAATATGGTTTCATATAAGCAATACTTAAGGTCTATTATAAAGATACAGTGCAGCTGAAATTAGAAAAAAGTCGTGCCGGGAATTACTGAGATAACGTAAACAGATTTCAAATAAATTTTTTAGTTTTTGAAATGTTTCGAGAATATCTAACGATTGATTTGTCACTTGCGGTGGTCTTATTTTGTATCATATTTATTTCAAACATCAATAGAATTTCTTAAAATAATTTTTAAGTATGGCCCTTTAATTAAAAAACAAACATAAACTTTCTAAAGCAAAAGAAATCTCAAGGTCAGTCGTTTTTATATGTTACATAATGCCTATTATTTAACTTAAGGTAATTTGTAATTACAATTTTTTTTCCAGTCTATTAAAACAACATTCAATTTTTCAATATTACACTTACCTGTATATTCAGTACCACTCACCCAGAATGTTACTTCCGGCAATCTAAAAATATAAACAAAATTAGTTGACCCTTTAAACTACTTACGTAAAAATTGACTCACGTGTTATCCATTTTGCTGCTTTCACTCTAACTTGTACATGCCGCTATTGTCAGGAAACCACAAAAAAAAAACTGAATAAATTCAGTTATGATTTAATTTATAACAATTACCTTATATAACATTTTCAAAGATTGCCTGATAACACAGAAGATTATAAACTAATTTTTATTTTAATCTTGTTTCTAAAGTGTAGGAAATTTATGTTAACAATATTGCACTAAACTCGAAAAAATTAAGTATTTTTTTATGTTCTGTTAGGACCTGAATTTATGTATTTCCTTTATTTATTTTTAACTTAAGAAGTTAAAAACTTAAGACGTAAAAAACTTCCTCTAGTTGCATATTGAGAATTTTGACTAAATTTAGTATTCATTTTTATTAATGATTTAATTCCAGTTTGCTTGAAAAGTTTTATTGTTTACTTACTAGTATGCCTCTTAGCAAATGTGTAGCAAATTTAGTTAACAAAATAATTTTATTATTTGCAAATAATTAACTGTCAATGGTGATATTGTTCTATACATTTACATTTTCTTAATAGCTTCCTCAATTCACTTAAGATGTTCAGCTTATAGTCCAGTTACTCAGGGTTTTTACCTCCGAATTCTTTATAACTGAACCGATTGACGTGAAATTTTGACTGAATGTGGGGAATGCCTCAAGGAACAAAACTTATATAGTGTCGAAGTGTGCTTTTGCCCTGGGGTGGTTCCAACCCCTTCTTGGGGGTTGAAATTTTTACGCCTAAAATAACCACATGAATCGATAGAGGAGTTAATTTTAAGTAACAAATGTTATATAATCCAATATTTTCCGATTAATTCGTCATTGAAAATGTTGATTTTTTACTGAAAATGTGCTTGTTTTCGGACAATTTTTTACAAATAACTCTGAAACCATTGGATTTAACGAAAAAATTGTAACGAACAAAAAGAAAGGTAGTAAAAAACAAATCTAAAGGCATAATTTTGTTTTTCTCTAATTGCAATATAAACCGAGTTATTGATTTTTTTACATTATTATATGTTAGCTAAAAACTAAATTGGAACCAGTAACGTTAAATAACGCCAAAACCATAAATATTAGGAAAAAACCAACGAATTGTAACCACTAGAAGGAGCTTTGGATATATTTGTTTGCGAATGTACATAAATAAATCAGTTCTTCAAGAGACACAAATTTCTATCGGTCGAATTAATATTCCCGTATTTCGATGATTGTCGATGACAGCTGTCAAAGGAAAAGTGTGTAGCCGCTATTAACGTATTTGAGCTTATTTGTGTTTAGTGTGCCATTTTGGTCTTATTGTTCTGTAGTTTTTATATATGGACATTTATTTAGTGCTAAGACATAGTTAGAAAGTGTGTTATTTGTAAAGTTTTATTTAAAAAGGGCGAGCAGCGGCCCTTCCACAGGTAAGTAAACAAGCAACATGGGTGGCGTTTGAGGAATTACATAAGTGATAGCAGTGATAAAATACTGACTAAATCAGTATCTAAATTATGAAAATGATATATTTTTTAATTGTTCAACTTATTTTTTCCTGTTTCAGTAATATTATAAGTATAACTAATACGCTATCTGCTTACCTATCTATCTATTACCATTTTATTAAATATAAACACTACCGTAAGAGTACATACATCTGGAATAGATAATTTATCATTTTTAGGAAAAATCCTTATCCACGATATTTTGCAGAATGCCATACATGGATAGTCCAAAAAGAGCAAGAAAATATTGGAGTATTTGTAAGAAAAAAATAAAAATGCAAACAATAAAGATCCGAAATCTGCAGCAAGCAAAGAGGTCGTTTAAAAGCCAGAATTTGTAGCCTTAATTCCCTTCTGAAATTTTTGAAAAAGAAATATGACTTAAAAGAAACTGCTCAATGTATCGTATCATTCATGTAAGTTGAAAAATACTTATTCTTTCTATGTTTATAAACAATATGTATTTTTAGGAATCAGCACCTGGAATGTTAGGTGAAATCTGTCAAAAATCAAGAAAAGGACAATCTCGTAAAAAGTATTCACCTGAGTTTAGGTCGTTTGCCTTAACGTTAAGCTTTTATTCAAGAGATGCTTATAATTATGCAAGAAGATGGTACAGATCTATAGATGGAACACCTGGATTTACAAATGAAGCATTGGCTGCTATTAAAATGAAAGTAGGAGAAACAAACAGTTAAATTTTGGGCAATTTGGTATTTGACGAAATGTCTATAATGCAACATGTTGAGTGGAATTGAAAACGATTCATTGGATATGTCGATGTCGGCATTGAAGCTATGGAAGCCCTTGTTTTTATGGTTGTAGCTATAAACAGTCATTGGAAAATACCTGTTGGGTACTTCTTGACAAACGGTTTGTGGTTAAGAAAAAGCTAATTTGTTAAAAAAAAGTTTAGAATTTTTAAGTGAATCAGGTATCAAAATAGTTTCTGTTACTTTTGATGGTGCTCCTTCAAATATCAAATTACGGCTTTACCATAAAAGTTAATGTTAATATTAATAAGTAGGTAGATTGCAAGTTTGTAGCATTTTAGGTTATTTGTTGACTTATTACTGTTTCAAATTGGTTTTCTAATAAAAACTAGAAAAATAAACCAAACATTTGTCTTTTATGACTTATAAGTCACTAGTGGGTTATAAGTCATAACTTACTAGTGACTTATGACTTATAACTCACTAGTGACTTATAGGCCACATTATTCCTTTAAAACTAAAGAAATTATAGTATCATTATATACAAGTGTTGGATAAAAGCATTTAATCAATCAGTACTGATGTCAAAACAATTTGAGTATGATAAAAATGGTTTATCAATTTTACTTTAATTTTTACCGTCTCATTATATATTTTCTCTCGTCTCATTTTTTTAAAGAAAGAATTAATAAACAAATCATTGCCTTTGGCGACAGAATTAAAATTAAATGCAATCCATTTACAGATTTCTTCATTTATGTTCTAAGAATATGTTCTGGGTCTTTGGCTCGCTTACAAAGCATGATTTCGAAATAAAACTTAATTTTTGAAAATGTTAATTTTTCAAATTTTTGAAAAAAAATCGATTTATACGCTGTAACTTAAAAATTAAAGGGTGTACGAAAAAAATACAAGAGTAAACAATTTAGCTTTATTTTTGCTGAATATTTTGCTTTATTTTTTTATTACTCTAAAATTAATATTAATCGAGATATTGCCATTTTAAGTTATCATATGAATGAGAGAACCACCCTCTTCGAGCCCTTTAAACCCTTCAAACTTAAAAATTAAGGACTTAAAAAATATCAATTCGACAGTTCACGTAGCCCTTACATTTCCCTGCAAAATGAGCCTTTGTACGATTAAAAATCTTAAAAAGTAAGAAAGTTATCGTCAAAAAATAAACACGTGTATAGGTGATAATTTTAAAAAAATTTAGGTCAAACAAGAATTTTGAAGCATTTAGATCTTTTTTGTATGTGTATATTCGAATAAACCAGTACTATATTATAATACACACTATACTACACACGCACACACCCTCACACACACACATATACAGGTTGTTACAAATTCGCTTCTCACTACAGGGATCTCGAAAACGGTAAGAGATACGAACTAGCTTAAATGGGGGCAATGTTGCGTGTCTCTAAAGAATCAAAGCTAACGTGATTAGTTTTCGAAATATTTGAAAAAAAAAAAACCGAAATTTTGGAAATCCGATTTTGTTTCATTTCCTTTGTTTGAGGTGATATTGAAAAAAGAAGAAAACTTTCTCATGGTCACTTTTTGCCCTCTATCGAATGGCATAATCAATTTTTATATGTACCTAACGTTTCGTCTCTCCAGGACCATCATCAACTTCATGTTTTTAAATACGACCCTGTATATTTTATTACATTTTTTTCAAGCCTTCATGACCCCCAATACTGTACTGCCTCAGCCCGAACCAGATTCAGACGTTTTGTCTCGAAAAATTCATCTTCAGAGTATTCATTCCAAATTAATCTAATTTTTTATTTAGATTTCTTTGTTTATTGAATTATCGTACACTCTAAGTGTCGTTAGAGCCTGTGAAATCTATCTAGTTATTTAAAGTATTAATTAATAAGGGTTGAAAAGTTGCAATCAATTCAAAATTATTTTATAAGAAGGGAATAAATGTTTATTTAATACGAATGCACATTTAAAATGTTTCTACTCTTTCATTAATATTTTTTCATTTTATTTTCGAAAGAAGGGGTATTTTTCAAGGGTTGAAAAGTTGCAATCGATAAAAAAGATTTATTAAACAAGAAATCAATTTTAATTTGATAAAAATGCATAACTAAAACGTTTCGAGCTAAAAAAAATTTTTTATCCAAAGGGATGGTTTTTAAAGGTTTTTCCGGGTTGATTAAGTTTCATGTTAGATAGCACATGAAATTACTCATACTGCATAAATAAAAAAGATTTGATTACATAAAACGCTTAAATTTGTATTTTTTCTTTTTTTCCAATAAGGGGTGGTTTTCACCCTTTAAGAACAAAAAGCACACCTAGCGCATATATAAGTTTTGAAGTGGGGGGTAAGATGAGCCTAATTCTAAATTTTGAGAAAAATCGATGCAGTTATAAAAAATTCGGAGGTATTACTATATTTTCAGCTACAGTAACTGGGCTATTACCATTTTTAATATTCATAAAAACCCGTTAGTAAGTAAGACCGTTGCCTTTCATATATTTTGCTGGATATATAAGATATTGTGAAAATAATGAAACCAATATGAGTAGTGTATATACCTACAGTATGTCCACGGATTGAGTGCACGTAGGGTGTAAATGACAAAAATTTTTCGAATTGAAATTTGTGCTTCTGGGCATCATCTCTGCTTGGCCTTAAAATAGGAAGTTTAAAAAATCAGTTCAATTAATTAATATACAGCGTGTTTTACGATGAATTTTCAAAAATTGTCAAGAGTAAAGTACCTTTGTTTCTAAAAATATCAAAAATATTTACTTAAGAAAGTTATCGAGAACTAAAAGTTATTACAGATTGTCAATTTTGAATTTGATTGGCCAACTTTGTTTTTTATTTTTCACAACTACAAAATACAAATTCCTAATTATTTATTAAAGAAAAAAACGNAACTAAAAGTTATTACAGATTGTCAATTTTGAATTTGATTGGCCAACTTTGTTTTTTATTTTTCACAACTACAAAATACAAATTCCTAATTATTTATTAAAGAAAAAAACGTAACTAATATAATAAACATAAATAAGCAAATAATGTAATGGTTATTCAAATTACACATCGCTCAGTGCGCTTGGTAAATTTTGTGTAGGCGTTTTGCATTTCTTGAATGTGGATGGCATTAATTGTATATTTTATTCTTCGTTTCAGTTCAAATAAATCGTCATTCAACGGCGACCCATAGACTTTCTGCTTGAGATAGCCCCATAAATAAAAATCCATTAGAGTTAAATCAGGAGGCCAAGAAATAGGGCCATTTCGCTCAATCCACCGCCCAGGAAATTGACCATCTAGCCATTCTCGAATGTCTCGCGTGAATGCGCTGGGTGTCCATCCTGTTGAAAGTAAAGAGAAAAAAAAAACAAAGTTGGCCGATCAAATTGAAAATTGGCAATCTGTCATAACTTTTAGTTTACTCTTGACAATTTTTGAAAATTCATCGTAAAAGCATTCTGTGCATTAATTAATTGGAGTAATTTTATTAGCTTCATAATTTAAGGCCAAGCAGAGATGAAGCCCAGAAGCTCAAATTTCAACTCGAAAAATTTTTGTCACATCCCACGTGCACTCAATCCGTGGACACACTGTATTCTATAAAAATATATATTATAAGAGAAGAAAAAATAGAAAGAATTCAAAAATTGAAAANAACTAAAAGTTATTACAGATTGTCAATTTTGAATTTGATTGGCCAACTTTGTTTTTTATTTTTCACAACTACAAAATACAAATTCCTAATTATTTATTAAAGAAAAAAACGTAACTAATATAATAAACATAAATAAGCAAATAATGTAATGGTTATTCAATTTACACATCGCTCAGTGCGCTTGGTAAATTTTGTGTAAGCGTTTTGCATTTCTTGAATGTGGATGGCATTAATTGTATCTTTTATTCTTCTTTTCAGTTCAAATAAATCGTCATTCAACGGCGACCCATAGACTTTCTGCTTGAGATAGCCCCATAAATAAAAGTCCATTAGAGTTAAATCAGGAGGCCAAGAAATAGGGCCATTTCGCTCAATCCACCGCCCAGGAAATTGACGACCTAGCCATTCTAGCCATTCTCGAATGTCTCGCGTTGAATGCGCTGGGTGTCCATGTCCAATGTCCATCCTGTTGAAAGTAACGGAAAAAAAACAAAGTTGGCCGATCAAATTGAAAATTGACAATCTGCCATAACTTTTAGTTTACTCTTGACAATTTTTGAAAATTCATCGTAAAAGCATTATGTGCATTAATTAATTGGAGTAATTTTATTAGCTTCTTAATTTAAAACCAAGCAGAGATGAAGCCCAGAAGCTCAAATTTCAACTCGAAAAATGTTTGTCACTTACATCCCACGTGCACTCAATCCGTGGACACACTGTATTCTATAAAAATATATATTATAAGAGAAGAAAAAATAGAAAGAATTCAAAAATTGAAAAACTTTTCATGTACTTTTCGTACTCCTTTGGCTACATCTTCCATCTATCGACCTTCCAAACCTTATAGGTACATATATTCTGTCTCAATATACTGTTGCTGAGCTTTTTGATATACATCTATTTATTTTAATGAGTGCAAAAGATAACAAAATTTTGTATAATAAGATAAAAATTTTAGTAAATTATCTTGCAATCTCAAAGAATAAGTATAGATAGAAGAATAATAAAAAAAACAATTAAATGTAGTACTTAGGAGATATAAAACAATCGTTTATTATTTTAAATTCCTATCTTTTGTCTAATTATAATGACATATACTTACATGTCATATATTTGCTTTGATAGTTTGCACATTATTTTAGTTTATTTGTTAACTCTCTAAAATGGATAAAGTAAAGATTGCCATGGAACTAGTACATATTATTGCTTTTCCGCTAAAAATGCCAAACTATAAAAGATGTTTGATAATAACTCCATTATCAAAGGACGTTTTTTAAATAAGTTTTAATAATTTAATAAACAAGAATTTAAAAAATGACAAATATATAGGATGGTCAATGAAAGAAAAAAGTTTCGTTTATATCTGAAATACAACATTCAGTTGTTTTTTTATATATATATTTCGTTGAGATCACAAGAGAATTTTCAAACATTTTGGTCTATACTATTTTTTGCTAAATTGAAACGCAAAAAAGATAAGGGCAGGGGTATTATGTGAACGACCTTGTACATATCAGCTAGTGATACTATTAGTGGAAAATTTTGTTGTTATTGTCAGAAGTGGTAGTCAAGATTAGATATCAATATGTATGCCATTTTAATGAGATTTATGTTTTTTATCCAATGTCACTCATTTCAGATGGAAACACCCTTGCAAAAAGATATTTATAATGAGTGTCAAAATTAACTTCAATTTAAATAAGTCAACAAAATTTGCTAGCAATTTTTTTTATTAAAAATCTAAATTCACTGTCCCTTAAAATAATTTGTTTAATAGGTAATGTCAATGTTACATTGCAGAAAAAGATTTAGCAAAATAAGAGAATTCGTTGGTATTCTCATCTATGGGATATTGATGAGGACGAATAAGTCCGGAACCGGTATATATCTAGTGGGTTCGACTGATGAATGTTCCTAGATCTTCAAAAGATATTGCATAGTGCATATGCCTACTAAAAACAAGATTATACTTTGCCATAAATATGAGTCCATGAATGCTTCCTAAGGGAGCTACGCCCCCCTAAATGGAGCCCCCAAGAAATGCTTTTTTAAATATTTCCAAAACGAGGGTAAAATGCGAATATGTCAATATTTTCAAACGTCGATATCAATCATAGATTTGGATTTTCTACAAAGAATATGCTCCTAATTTACCTCGATGAAATACTCCGTTTTTGAGAAAAATAGATTTAAAATACAAATACTGAATTGGTACGTAGGTCATGAAAACAATAGACAATACCGACGAATAGAACTGTCAGAAAATGGATTCTAATATCAGTATACTAATGTAAGTAACTACTAATATTCAACAAGCAAAAGTAAAAATGAAAAATCTGGAAGTGGCGCGTATTAAAACTAACTCAAAGCTACAAATTACTTTTAATTTGTACGAATGGTCAAAGTCCAAGGGCATCATCATTATCATTATCAAAGGGTGCAAGATTTAAAAAGATTTTTTATTTATGAATGAATTTTCTCGGTTTTCTGGGCTAATGATAATTTTCAGTACAAATTTTCAGTTAATCTGTGGGCGAAAATCATCGACGACAAATTCATTGGGTCTGTTGAATCGTTTATAACACCGCGGTAATAACCGGAGAAATTATTAGAAAAGGTATATTTCGCCTCAAAGATGCTAAGGAACAATGAATTTTAAATCCCCGGGGAATAAGACGTAGGGCTATGCTGAAAACCCAAATCTATCATTAGACAAATATCGACAAATGAACATGAACAAACAACATGAACAAATGAACAAATGAGCTGATATATAGAAAAATTTAGCTATTTTTTATGTATTTTTAAATATTTTAGTATATAGTTCAACTTCCTTTTATAAATTTCCCCACATTTTAGTCTTTTGTTATTGTTTTAAGGTATATTTTATCTTTATTTATATTTTATTTTATATCTAAATGTAGGTATTTGTTTACGTTTGTCACAAAATCAAGTCAACAGTGACTTGATTTTGTCAATTTATCTGCACTAATATTATTATTATTATTTAATCTGCATTATTTATAATGCAGATAATTATATTGTTTTCGTAATCACCACCTAGTATCAATCTATGTTTAAGTGCACCTTTTAAAATTCAAATTTATTAAAAATCAAACCTCATAACACATATTGCTGATAAGTATTTAAGGAATTAGATAAGGTATTTTCAACAGTGCTTGTTCCATCTGAAAAAAGAAAGTATAAGTTTTTATATAATGTTTGACTTTAGTACGTACCAAAGGGATACCATTTTGGTTGATTTGGAGAAGCTTCCTGTCTGGCTGAAGCTAGAGCATTCCTGATGGCCAGAGGAATACTGCACGAAATACAAACTGGTGGTTCAGCAACCGCTTAAAAGATAAGGTTTTTTAAAAACTTACAAAAAATGTGCTGTCAGATGCTTGTACTTTTTGAACTAGTATTAAATTTTTCTAATAAAAATGAAACGAACAAATTGATGGAATGAATTGGGACAAAAATGTAACCAACTTTAATTTGTCTCAATACTATAGATTTGTGTTAATTCAGACAGACCAGTAAAAAGGCAGTTAATAATTTTTGTGTTGTATTTTGTGTTGTTCTTCTATGTATGCTGATTTATTAAAAAAATAACAAGACTGGAATAACTGCGTAGACTTTTATACTTGATGAATTTGTAAAAATGAAGAAAATATTTCTAATAAGAATTATTATTTGCTGGTCCCTTACCTTTTGATCTAAGTACTCCCACAGGATTTGGGTTATTTTCTGGAAATTTTATCCTAAAATTGATAGGGATGTCCTTAGCTCCAGGAGGTCTGTAATTCCAAGTCCTATTCGTAAGAATTTCTCCTTCATCATTAAATATAATTTCCTCTGTGGTGTAATACCCGATTCCTTAAAATATATAAAATGTAAAAATTATAGAATTATTAGTTACTTATACGATTTAACAAGGCTGTGTACTATTTATTACAGAATAAAAAATCGATTACCCATTACAAATGCACCTTCCACTTGACCGATGTCTATAAGGGGACTCATACTATCTCCAACATCTTCAATGATATCTACCTTTAAAATCTGATTCTGGCCCGTTAAAATGTCTACTTCTACTTCCGCAGCACAAACCCCATAAATTGGGTATTCTTGGATACCTGGTTCATCTTCAGAGTAACTGTAAATGTTTAGTTTCGTACATTCTGATACAATCAGTATTCTAAAACATACAATCCTGATGAAGTTAACTGAATGTTGGACTTGAAGCATTGTCTTATTAAGTCTTCCCAAGACGGATTACCCATCTTCGTTCTGATTGGTTTCATTCTCTCTAAGAGGATGTCGCATGCTTTTAGAAGAGCCTGCAACAGAATATGGTTGATATTTCGAACAAATACACAGATCAGATCTAACCAAAATTAGTTTAACCACTTTAGAAATGTACTCGATGTCAAAGTTGTATTAGATCAAATTCTATAGTTAATGTATATCACATAGAATACAATATTTAGTATTCAAACTCATATTTAAGTAATTATTACCAAATTCCCAAAAAGCAACAAATTATTTTACATCAATTATTTTTCGGAACTTGAATTAAATTTCATATAAAAATGACTGACTTTATCAAAAATCAAATGAAGACATGTATTCGGACACTTTTATTGTTTGTTACTTAGATTCGGTCTTTAAAGTTGGCCCAGTCATTTTAGTTATACTTTGTATAATCATTCCCAATCGAGAGATGTTGTTGAATATCTATTGAATTGTATCTCCTTCACTGCATTGTATTGCATTGATCATTCATGAAAATGCAAATACAACATGTGAAATGTAATTATTAAGTGATAAGTTGTTAGTCTATGAGTACGTAGACCCTTGTTATTATTATTGTAAAAAAAATATTGACTGAAATGTTTGCACATTTGCCATTAGAATTAAATCTACTGATAAAGAAAAGTAACACCAAGTCAAATTTATTGTGAAAATTGCTTGTTTACTTAGACATAAAATTTTTTTAAATTGTAAATGTACATAGGTAATTAGCATCTTTTTCTATTGCGCCTCTTGCAAAGAGCTTAGGTAATTATAGACAAACACAGGGTCATAAGAACATGCAAAACTAAAAAACCACCCCTTCTCTAGCCCCACGAACATATTCCACTTGGGCAGTCCCTGGATTCATCAAATACCACAACCGATTTTTCCTATTTGCACCAAAATGGCGGTTACATTTCAAATATTGGGTTCTAGGCATGTGCAAATACTGAAGAGATTTGAATCGCTCGAAAAGCTCTTGTTGGGGCAGAAGTGGGGCAATAGTGTCCTAGTATCATATAACATTAATTAATATTAGTACACCCAACTATTTGAATCAGTGAATACTGTTACGGAAATTTTACTAGTACCACATAACAGGATGGGTTATAAAATTTGTAGCTATTTCCATCGAATTAATGCTGACAAAATTCATAAACAAATGTTGTACTTGATACTTACATAACATACTGACTCACTTGTTCCACTCCCACCAGTGGTCGAACAATTTGGTGCTATCACGTTGTAGCTTGGCTTAACAGTGACTTTCGAAAGCGGTATTCCAAATTTGTAGGCGCATACTTGAATTACCTGAATCATAGAATCAACATAAGAACATAATAGGAATGTTAGAATTCATTGTTAAAAGATCTACCTTCGTATTGATGCCTTGTCCAATTTCTATCCCTCCGTGGGACACAACGACGCTGCCATCACTGTGAAAAATGGAAACCAACACGGTGTAATTATAAACAACCTCTAAAGTCCACGCCATCGGCACTATTGACATGCCTCTTTTCTTCCAACGATTCGCCTAAAAAGATATGAAAAATCTATTATTTTTTTTAATCAAGTTACTTGTGTACGTGTGCGTGATGATTTTAAAGGTGAAGCTTTGATTATCATTATTGATGACCATATTTATACTTGTTTAGTTCCATTAGTTTCCGTTAAAAACTTACCGCATTAAAAGCTTTTATGGTATTCTTCATTTTAGCAATATCTCCCCACGTTTGCATATCTTGCCAGAATTTCACAACTTTTGGATACTTATTTTTATCAATATTGGCTTGTTTCACATCTGCTGCATCCATATTTATAGAGTAGGCTATGTGCTCCATTATACTGTCTATGCAACCCAGACCTTCTAGGGTACCTGAGAATACATCCAATAATGATCTTTATTTTGAGCAGTTGTGTATATGAGGCGATTTTTTAGTTGGTAATTAAAAAAAATTAGGATGTTTGAAGATGAATTTGAAAATGCACTTTATGAACTTCACTGAAAATATTAGTTTCACCAGATTATGAAAGAAATGCAACGTCAAAATGGATGGGATGGAAATATGATATATTTATATTTCATAATGGAAAACTCAAATATTCACTACAACTTGGATAATGTGTTCTACTAGAATTTGTAGTACTAGGATCGCATGGTTTCTGATTTTGCACTGTTGGATCGCTTCATTGAAACGCTAGCATAATCAGATCGGGATATGCTGCGGCGCAATATAAAAACTGTTTGATTTCCCAAGCGCAAGATCCAAAAGGCTCGGTGGATTGTTATTGACTGTAAGGAATTGTGCTGTTCAGGTGCTGAAGCATTTTGAGCTGAACCTTCAGTTGAACCGCCACTAAACAAGCCCTTCTTTACATGTTCTATTGCTGAACCAATGGCCACCTCCTGCTGTAGCAGCCATTTGCCCAAACAAGCCGATAGTAGATTTTAGATTTTAAAACGAGATAGGTACTTATGAAACGAAAAAATATAAAAAGTTGTATACATAGATCCCTCGAAGGTAAAAGAAAGCGATATAATGGAAAAAAAAAACTAGAAACTACGGAATTGATTTACTGAGGCCTCTAGATTAATTTTATACCCGAGTCGATGTTTTCGACTCATTCGCAATTGATTTTATAAGCATGATCTACGTACTCTACTATGTAGAGTACGTAGATCTTACTGTATTACTGTATTCGTGATTTGAATTCGCTGAATGTAGAATTTTAGCTGATTTTTAGGTTTATGTCCAAGGAGAAACCTCCTGAATGTGGAGTTTATAAGTTTTTGGCAATTTAAAAAATACTGGAGGCTGATCGGGCATTACCCACAGCAGTTTCGGTTTCTGGACGCTCAAACACATAAGATAGCATAATTATCATTAGTGGAATGATCTATTTTTCTTTGCCCCATTTAGACTATATTGTATCTACTCAATTATTTTAAGACAGCACAACCAAATGCAGCACATTACTGAAAAATATTTTTAGAAAACTGTACAACATCCGCAGTTATTGGATTGTAGGTTGCCGCTTGATATTCTTTAGTTCAAGCGATTGAAGTCTATAAGTAGGAAACCAAAGGTAATTGTCATTTAAATCCAATTTAAATATCATATTTTAGTAAATTTTTCTGTCTTACCTCTAGTTCGAAAAGTATAGCTACTGATACTTTAAAAATCACTATGTATACAGTATACCGTTATTATTTTTTCACAATATTATACACAAAATTTTTTTCGTATTTGCCTAACTTGTATTACTTACCAGGTGCTCTAGTATAGCAGTTAGCGTGAGTGTCCGTAGTGACTGTATACGTCGAAAAAGACCATCTACTCGTGTCATAACAATTCTCGAACAAATCTATTAGCAGACTATCTATCGGCTCATTTCCACCAACTCCGAAATCCGAGTACAAATCTGCTTCCAGATACTGGATGACTCCTTGATCGTTCACTCCAACCTCGTAGTTGGTATAGAGGGGGTATCTCTTGCCCACAACGTTCATGTTCTTCTTCAGTGGCATCCACATCTTCACAGGTTTCTTCAGTTTGTGAGCTGCCAGGGCCGCGGCAGTGGAAACTATGGTGTTCCTCATTATTTTCGCACCGAAACCACCTCCCAACCGACGAACATGGACATTGATTCTTGAAAGAAATTTTGAAAAATATTACGTTTACCATACATGGTTTTGATATGCTTTTTCGACATGTACAAGATGAATCTTATCATCATGTTCATGTAGTAGACTTAATATTAAGACCAAATGACACAAAATTGTACATTGATTTAGTTTGTTGAAACGAAATTATGGAAAACCACATAAAAACAAACGTTTAATTAATATTTTCAAAACTCCCTTCTCCTATATGAATACAAGATTGAAATGCAATGTCCATAAATCAAGTGACATTCTTGTTTTACATTCATTTTTTCTTAATTGTTGAACAGACTACTGAATACGCTCCATAATAATAATTGCTCTCTAGTGTTTGAAACATGTGTATATATTAAATCTTTCATATACCTACTGCCAGAAATAAAAGTCTAGAGAATTATATAATTATAATTTAGTGCATCTATTTTTTTTAAATACGTCTACTTTATTCTTTTAAAATTTGAAGGTATTGATATAGAACACCTTATACAGGGTGATTCAGAACTTATTCAAAAAAAAAATTCTAGATGTACAGGGGACCCATACAAATACAATTTTGTAAAAAAAAAATCAAAAAGGGCAGTTCGAAATTGATTTAAAAATACACCTCTGCACGGCACTGGAAACTGGTCCACTGTAAAACCTGACCTCGCACAATGCGACCGGCATGGCGGTGTGATAAAAACGGACAAAAACTTTCGCAAGGAAAGAAATAAATAGAATTTTATAGCACCTATTTTATATCGGCAAATTCAAATGCTTTTGCCTTTATTAATTATTAATAAAATTAATTTGTGTTTTTAAATAATAAAATCATTTGACATACCCGATGTTACAACAACAATTGTTCAAAATTTTATCCACTAACGTGTAAACACATTTGGGTCCGTCTTACTCACTTTCTACGAACTAACACAAATGATGTCTTGCTTCACCATAACACAAATGCTTCACCATAATACAAATGTTGTCTTGCTTCACCATAAATTAAAACGATATCCATCAACTCTGAGTTGCTATACACGCAAGCCATTTTTGACACTAACTACTAAAAAACTGATGTAAATACCACAGATAACAGGTAAAAACTACCGCAACGACGGATTTCAGTATTAGGAGTCACATGGCTCTCCACGCGTATTGCGAATGACGCTAGAGACTACAGTTGTCCAGCTATGTAGTGGTTGAATGTACTATAACTTCAATAATTTTTTTCTCCGAAACTATAAGGATTTTACAAAAATTTTTTTACGTTATTAACTCCATTTCTCATGCCGCATCTATTCCCAAATTTTTTTGGATAAGTTGTGAATCACCCTGCATGTATATGTTGTATTTATATTCAATACCACACCTATTCATGGGAATATTTAAAGCAGCTGAACAAGCAATTTGTGCTAGATCCATCCATTGCGTTGAAGGATACAAATCTAAACTGTCCTCAGTGGGAACGACATTGCAACATTGTACTTCCATATGAAAGTGGTATTGCATTCCTATGAAGAAGTTTCCTTTTACAACGTGCTTAACGTCAGTGCCTAAAATATTAAAAGTAATGTAAAAATTTTCAGAGTATTGATTTATTTTGTGAAAATTTTAGTGGCATACACTTGCACGTTATACATTTTTGGTTTTTTCTTAAATTTAAAAAGATAACACTCACCTTTGCCTTTTGGAACAACTGTTGTTTGGTGATGAATTCTACTATTATCTTTTGCTTTGAGAACATCTTTAACGGTTAAATACGGTTTTTGTTTTGGTTTCGAATACGTCACATCAACCAATTCAGCTGCTTCTACAGCTACATCGTGATCTTTAGCTACTATTATACCTATTGGTTGGTCATAATACTGAACTCTACCGCTGCAGAATAGTTCTTCTTGTACTGGAAAATCGCCTGTTTTTGGACTAAATGTATTCTCACCAGGAATGTCATCTTTCCCGAAAAATGCCACAACCCCCTTTATTTTCTGTAGTCAAATATTAGAAATCAATAACTTCCAAAGTGGAATAGCTGTATATTATATAGGACAGAAGAAAATAATAAGATTGTTTTAAGTATCTTTAAAAAAATATGTATGGCTGCTCATCCTTATAACAATAATAGACTGAATAAAATGATATAAATTGTTCCATGAAAGTTTTCCTAACTCCTAGAGCATTCAGTGAGGGACACAAGTTTTGGATTTAGTGCATGAAGATGGAATGTGAAGACAAGTGATACTGCTTTGCAGGTTCAAGAAAGACATACAAAACTTTGGAAACATTAAACTCAGTACCTACCATCCTTATTATGTTCAACATGTTCTGGTTTTGTGAAATACGAAAATTTTTAGATCACCAGATTTGTAATTAGTGGATCGTTTTTGTCCCCTGGACGCCAAAATTGCCGGATCTAAACCCTTTGGATTTTTTTGCTTGTTGGGGTCGATAAAAGTTTAGTATTTATTAGCTACCATAGTTAATACGCGTGAACAATATAGCTCGATTAGAACATGCAACTCAAATAATTCACAGCAACTTCGAAATATAAATGTGGTGTCAATAGTTTAGAGACAGGACCGTACTATGGAGGTTATTTTAAGCAAATACAATGTAAGTAATTTATGTTTTAGATTTGTGACATTTTCAATGCAGGTTCATGATAAAACTCTTACCTTTAAAATGACCTTATATTATATGTTTCTTATAAATATTTACTATATGTTGTATTTTGATTTATTATATATAGAAAGAATTTACATTGAATAGAAATTTGTTATAAATTCTTACCATAGCTTTCGCAGTGTTAATAGTAAGAATTTGAGAATTAGCCACTGTCTTGGCTGTCACAAATGCTGCGAATAATTGATTTGGAAGATCGGGAATATCTGCTATATATTGAGCTTCTCCTGAAACAGAAGATTAATCATTTCCTAGATCACCAACTCAAAACATTAATCAATCGAAAAAATATGCAAAACTAGAAGAAAAATGGTAGAAGGTAGAAATATTTAAAAAATTTAGATACCTGAAGTTTGAGCTAATGCCTCTACTTTAATGATTGGTTCCCCCAAGGGATAATTTTTTGTATTCGTCCCAAATTCTTGTATTCCTGATGAAATCGGTCTTTGCAGAAGAGTTCCACCACTTCTGATCCTACTCGCAACTACTCCATCGGGAGCTATATTTAACACGTACTGCAATAAAGAACATCGTACTATGTAACAAAAATGGTTTTAATTAGCTCGCAGTGTTTACCTTGTAAAATAAAGATATGGCCAATAATTTCCGAAATTCTGGCTTGCTATCCGGCAGCACATAATCTGGATGAAGTTCGTCGTCTAAACTTTGATAAGCTCCCTGCAAAACGTTATTATCGAACAGATGTTTTCCTTTCAAATAGTTTTCCGTTTTTGTGGCATGGACAAACTCAGGATTTATCGCTCCGTATACGATCCTGGCGGATACAACATTCTGGTTTTGAAGTTGAAATAGAAAACCAGCATTCACGAGTGCATGGGTGTTTTGCGCTCTCGCCATTATCTGAAAATTAAGTGTTACAATTTGGGAATCTTGCTCCCACTATTTAGATACTACCTTGTATGATAAAAACCTATACGAGCTATCGTAACCTGTCAGTATAATGTGCTTAATAACTTTTTTATTCATATCTTCCTTGAGAAATTCCTGAGGACTCACCATTACTTCGTTTTCTTCGGTATCAACTGAAAATATCCTGCGGTAAAATTTTAATATTTATAACGAGAGAATTATGTATCACCTATTACTATAACCGCGTTATATGTTTCCATAATTAGGAAAATATCGGAAGGAAAATCGTTGTGGGTGTATTTTATCATCAAGTTTCCAGCAATGGTGCCTATCTGAAATATGACATCAAAATTAAATTATAAACTTTCATTTACTTACATTTCTAATTACTTTCATATAAAAAGATATATTAGCATTCTAGGAAAAAAAAACATTAGTTGTTTACATTTTTGTTATTACAGAACAAGACTGTCGCGTGCACACTTGGTGTGCATCAGCTGTGTAACATTAAGTTAAGCGCTGTTGTCACGTTGTGTTGAAACTCCTCATTATTAATACTCGCTGTATTTTGAAAACTGTTAATGGTACGCCCCTGTAATATACAACATTTTTGTTCATTTATGATTACTCTATTTCATGCTGAAGTAGTGGCAGTCAAACTCCTTACACCTTGTATAAAAATATAATGAAACTTACATTCCTCACTGGAACATTGGCTATCAGATTGATGTGTTCTTCCATATCCGATAAATAAGAGAAATTTTTGTTTTCTTTTGATATTTTAGCGAATAATTCTATGGCGTGTGTAAGGGTAAAATTTCCTCCAAGGATCAAAGTATTATTGCTAAATGAATAATTTGTAAGTTCACCCACACTTGTTACGTCAATATAAATATCTGGGATCTCTGATTGACCGTAAACACCTATAGCACAAAGAAATTATTCATATTTTTTATTAATAAACCATTTCATAATTTATTTAGGTATTTATTTTTCTCTATTTATTTGGGTATTTTTCCACTGAAGAAATTCAAAACTGAATTAATTTTTTATCTTTTTCACAGGTGGCAAAATACCGAAATAAACAGAGAAAAATATCCAAAGTTATGATACCTCTGGCAGTGTTTCCAGCAACTAGCATGTAAGTTGCACTTCCTGAAGTCCTGAGAATTTCTAGCAGATCCTTTACATAATAAACTTTCATCCATTTCGATGTCCTCAATCCAAAATAAATATTTGTTTTTTTCTTGTCGCAGTTGATGCTGCAATCCTCAGAACAATTACCCTTTTGGCAAATTTTAAGATCCTCAATATCCCCATTTTCGAAATTTATTTTGTCATCTGAAAACATTTTCAAAGAAATAAGTCCTGAAATGTTGTGGAATATGTCTAATGTTTCACCGATAACGTTTGACTGCATATTCATTAAAAAAAAGTTAAATAAAAACTTTTTGGTTTTTGAGTACAGGCCTTCAAAGTAAAACTAATTTAATTAATAACTTCATAACCCCTTTACCGATCGCATTAAAATTTGGCACATTTATTTGGACTATTATGGCGTATTATTTCTTAAAGCTTTAATGAAATCGATATACTGAGTGATAGTTTTCTTGATTTACCTCTATCTTTTAGCGGTCAAAACTTTTACCGTGGTCGTATTTTTTTAAAACGGGCAGCAACATTGAAAAGGTCGTTTTATTTGAAAAAAAATTGTCCCCTGAGAAAGTCGCTTACAGAGAGCCATTCTGAGAATATTGACGTTATTTGCAGATCTGTATGTTTCGGTTTGCGTAGCAATGTCACGGATTGAATGTTTGAGTGCAGTAGGCGATGAAAACAATATGTTAATTGCTGTGGCTAAGTAGAAGACGGCTTTCTTTAGAATTCTCATCACTCCACATATGCAAATTTTGAAAATTTACAACTCCGTTCCTTGTAAAACAAGATTCGTCGGTATAAAACAATTTTTGAAACAATTTATTATCTTCTGCGAAGCCATTCACCAACCAACGGGAAAATTGTAAACGTGCGTTGTGATCTATATTTTCGAATTTGTGAGGAGTTAAATGAAATGGCCAAAGAAGTAGCTTTTTTAAAGTTTTGTGAACATTAGTTTTACATATATTTAACTGTCTTGATACACTGCGGACACTTCATAATTTACATTTGTGGAGTGATGAGAATCCTAAACACGACACTAATGACATTACCTGATAGCCACAGCAATTAACATCTTATTTTCATCACCTACTGAACTTAAAGTTTTAAATCCGTGACACAGCAACGCAAACCGAAACATACACACCTACAAATAATACTATTTTTCTCAAACATGGCTTTCTGTAGGCGATTTTCTCAAGTAACAATTTTTTTTAAATAAAACAATCTTTTCAATGATGCTGCCCATTTTTAAAAAAAGTACGACCACTGTAAAAGTTTTGACCGCTAAAAGGAAGAGGTAACCGGAGAAAACTATCACCCAATATATCTATTTGACTAAAGCTTTAAGAAATAATACGCCATAATAGTCCAAAAAATGTGCCATTTAACACGAGGTTATGAAGTTATTAAATAAATTAGTTTTATTTTTGGCAACTTAGAAGGCCTGTAACTCAAAAACCAAAAAGTTTTTATTTAACTTTTTTTCGTAGATTGTATTTATTTATCGTCGTGAATATGCAGTCAAACGTTGTCGGTGAAATTTTTGGAATCTTTCATTGTTGGCGATAAAATAAATGAGAATATACAGGTACTACTACTGTAAGTAGGTACATAAAGTTTACTGAACTTGAAAATTATCTCTTATTCGTTTACTGATAACGTGCAATGCTGTATCAAAGTGTGGGTCTTAATGAATTTCTTTTATATTAGCTACTGATATTGCTTATCTATAACTAAGTCTTTGTATAAGAATTTTTAAAAAGCATAAGTTTATTTAGGTATAGTTTAGGAATAAAAGAAACGCCTCATATTAGTAAGGTTTAAAAAATATACAAGATGAGTACTTGTAGGTATTGTAATTTATATTGCCTTACCTGCGTCTGATGCCAATTTCTTAAATGCACTCAAAATCGGCCTGTATCCAGTACACCTGCAAATATTGCCCCCGAAAGAATCTTCTATTTGACTCTGAGTTACAGATCCTGCCGCGTATAAGGCGTACATATTCATAACCATCCCGGGAGAGCAGAACCCACATTGTGTCCCGTTGTTGTCAGCTAGGAGCTTTTGAATAGGGTGGTACTTCGTTAAGGGACCACCGATTCCTTCGACAGTGTGAATTTTCCATCCGTGACAAGAGAATATCGACACTAAGCACTAAAAATTGTGTGTATTTTTATATTGTAAATTATAATTATAAAAGTACGCATACGCTGTGTTCCATAATCGCGACATTTATTATTTTTTTTGCATTGCCTGCATACGAAAAAAGAACCTAGGAAGTTTCCAAAATATGTCACGAGAGAATGTGCAAAAACGTAAAAGCTACTATATAGAGAGTATGCTGCCTTATTTTAAAAAATTGTTGTAAACTTGTCGGGAATCAAAAGGTAGGTCAAATACGAAATCAAAGTGTGCTGACGGTCATTTTTTATTATTGATTATTGTAAATTCTCAGTATAATTGTAGTGAACACGTCAAAGCTGATTTATTTGTTAGTTATTTTTAAAACTTCACCATTGCTGATGACCTTTGTCCATATAGGTGCAACAACAAATAAGTATACTGTTTTTAAATAAATTCAGTCAGTAACAGAGGGGGGAAAATAATTATTTTTGTGGAACATTTATACACTAGCTAAGGAAATATCTATACCTGTAAAACAAAACTTTAAACAAATATTGAAATCATAATATACAAAATAACCCATGACAGAAAATTTTCACTTAATTAACAAGAAAATTTAAAGGGAAATTGTAGCATTTGATTATACAGGGCGATTCACAACTTATCCAAAAAAATTTGGGAATAGATGCGGCATGAGAAATGGAGTCAATATTGTAGAAAAATTTTTTGTAAAAACCTTATAGTTTCCGAGAAAAAAATTATTATAGTTGTAGTGCTTTCAACCATTACATAGCTGGACAACTGTAGTCTCTAGCGTCATTCGTAATACGTATTGAGAGCCACGTGGCCTCAGCGACTCAGAACACTGAAATCCAATGTTTACAATAGTTTTTTAGTAGTTAGTGTCAAAAATGGCTTGCGTGTATAACAACTTGGAGTTGATGGATATCGTTTTAGTTTTTGTGAAGCAAGAAAACATTTTTATTATGTTGAAGCATTTTTTGTGTTATGGTGAAACAAGATATCATTTGTGTTAGTTCATAGAAACTGAGTAAGACGGACCCAAATGTGTTTACACATCGGTGTACAAAATTTTGAACAGTTGTTGTAACATATCAGGTATGTCAAATTATTTTATTATTTAAAACTACAAATGAATTTGAACAAAATCAGTTTAGTTTGCTGATATAAAATAGGAGCTGTAAAATTCTATTTATTCTTTTCCTTGTGAAATTCTTTCAAGTTTTTGCCCGTTTTTTATCACTGTTGCCGTGACAGGTCAGGTTTTACAGTGGACCAGTTTCCAGTGCCGTGCAGAAGTGTATTTTTAAATAATTTTCGAATTGCCCTTTTTGATTTTTTCTTTACAAAATTGTATTTGTAAGAGTCCCTTGTACATCCAGATTTTTTTTTGCATAAGTTCTGAATCACCCTGTATAGTCATATTAGTGACCTTCGCACATTATTGGTTAACAAAAGAGAGATGTACCTAAACAGATCACTATTATTTATTAACTGATTGTTTCGTCGTCTTTCCTAAAGTTGTTTATTTCTATCATAGTTTAATTTTGTTCTAAAGTAATAATAATAACAAATAATAATTTTCTAAGTAACAGAAAAAAATAATTCAGGGATTTGGTTATATATATCTGAGTTATTCTTTCTCTCTTTTGTTTAATTGTAAATACTTACGTCTGTGTCACTGGAAACCTCTTATTTATTAATTCAAAATTAACGCTAATTTCAACCCTAATGCTGCGGCAATAATTTAACATTAACATGAAGCTTGAATCTGTTATCTACTCTCATTTCTTTAAAGGTTAAATATAAATACACTTGACTTACCGAGTTAACGGCAAATATTATTCTTTTATTTTTAACCGTTTCTTCTACAGCAACCACACAGGTACCACACCCGCCTTCTAAACACATTCTTTTGGTCCCTGTAAGATGGGCTTTTTGCCGAAGATAAGTGTTAAGGGTGGTCTCTGGGGTGACATCATCTGTATATACTAAAAAACCATTTTGTAAATTTACACGTAATTTATAACTGAAAAATGTGGAGAAAATAAATTGTTAAATAGTGTCCAATCAGTAAATTTTACATGGTCGGATTTACCATTCCCGTTGACCCGTGATCGCGGAGAGACCGATACACCAAGGGGTCCCTTTCTCTAACCTAACCTAACCTAAAACGTGATATAAAATATAGTGTATCAATGGAGAAAATATACTATATGATTTTTTTTATCATTTTAGGACTCAGTTAATACATTGTACCTACTAGTAATGCCAATTAAGAAACACAAAAATTATTAACATTTAATGCAGGGTGTTCCTAAATAAGTGTCGCAACGGAAAACTGTAAATTCCTCTTGAAAAGAGAAACATTTTTTTCCATTTCCATTTTTCTCTCCGGGCTTTCGTTTTCGAGATACACGGTGTCTAAACTTTTTTTCAGATTTTTGCCAATATCTTAGGAACCGTTTGAACTACAGGACTGAGCTTTTGTACACACATTACCACTATTAAGAGCTACTTGTTGGAAATGTTAAATTTCGTTAAAATTGTTAATTATTACTATCTTTTGAATTACAAAAGATTTTCGAAACGTTAGCAAAATGTTTGTTTTTGTTCATAAAAAGTCATTTTTCTTGAAAACGGTTGACTTTAGAGCAATGAACCAAGAGAACTCTTTTTGTGTAAAATTCATTGGCGCTTCAAAATTTGCTGTCAAATGTCAATTTTTCTAGTGGCGTAAAAGTTAGGGGGGAAAAACCCTTACGATACCTTAAAATCTCCACCACTGGCACGTTCAATGAATTCGAGAAGGGTGCGAAAAAGTAACTATTAATAGTGGTAATGCGTGTACAAAAACTCAGTCCTGTAGTTCAAACAGTTCCTAAGATATTGGCAAAAATATTTTAAAAAATTAAAGTTTTGACACCATGTATCTCGAAAACGAAAGCCCGAAGAGAAAAATGGAAGAGGAAAAGAATGTTTCTTTTTTCAAGAAGAATTTACAATTTTCCGTTGCGACACTTATTTAGGAACACCCTGTATACACGAGATGTCTCTGGATGATTTTAACCCTAGGTGTCACCTAAAAATTGTAGAGCTGAAATATATACCTACTTAAAAGAAAAACAAAATCGGCATTTTGGTAAACGATTCTGTTTGATTAAAAAGTAATTTCTGACACTTTTATTTCAAAAAGTAAGTAGTATCAGGGAAACAAATATTTTTTGTATAAGTGCCTTTTTCATATACAGAGTAATTCAGTCATAATGTCATTAATTTTAAGAGAAGGTAGGGAATAATGAGTAGAATACGAATACGCGATTTAAAGAAAATTTAAATGCATATTTACGAAGAAAAAAATATGTTTAATTCATTATCTAAACTCCTTTTCGGACCGCTCTTAACCGCTGACCTACAAAGGTTTATCGAGAGTGAATCTTGACCTATCGTATTCGGTCATTAACCTAGCCATTACTGTGTCTAGTGAACGACAAAACAGACCTTTTTAACCAGGACACATGAATAAATAAGATTTTTTTTACATTTTAAATATTAACAAGTATTTGTTTATAAAAACAAATGCGTAAGAATAATAATTGTTTTTGAATGTTAGGTTATTTAGTATTTTTAATATTATTAAGGTTTTCACTGTTATATAATCGAGTAATTTTTAGTATTATGTTCAATTAATTATTTAGTTTGTAGTACGTATATCTTATTGTGTGACTTACTGCTTTTCAAAGAGTAGTATGGTACCTACCTATTTAAAATGACCGTACGGTAAAAAAAACACTCACTCATCCATCCTTTGTCAATAAAGTTGGGATCCGCTGCAGTTTGAATTTGAAACCTATTGCAAAATTGAAAACGACTGGGGAAATCAGCTGTTTCGCTTCAACTTTCGAACGCTTTGTGGTCTGCCAGCTAGCGCATTTTCTGTTAGTAGGCAGTTAAGAGGTAATTTCCTTATTTTTTAAAAGGTCGAGTATTTTTTTTTCTATTTTCTGTCTTTATTAGGCCTTCTGAATACGTGGTTAAAATTATTGACATTATGACTGAATCATCCTGTAGAATATTAAAAATTTCATTATCAATGCAATTCAGAAATAAAATTTATTCCCATATTAAAAATTTTAAAGTAATTGGCCTGATTTAATGTCGTTTTTTTATTTTTGCATCTTGTGTAGGTACAATTATTTTGTGTATTGGAAATTAAAAATAAATGTATTGGTTTAAAATGTATGTTTATTTCTTACTGTTATCGTATTATCTTACTTGATTCAATCATTTTTAATTTTGCAATGATTTATCTAATCAAAAAAATCAATGTAGGCTAATCATTTTAAAATTTAGTATACAAACACAAATTTTAATTGTGAATAACTCTCCCTAATGTTGTAGATTTTCATAAATGAAAAATAAATCTACGGTATCTTGAAAAGGGTCCTTCGCGGAATTCAACGAAGGGACGTATCCAATCCGATACTGAAACCTTGAATCACTTCAATTATGAAACTAATAAATAATATCGCAAATATTTTAATAAGGCATTATTGTCTACGCCTCCGATTCCTACTGAATTTTTATTGCCCGATTTTTTCGAAGCCGCGGCTAGTGAGACTTCTGGGAAGGCGTAGTTTTTGTAAAAAAAATCACAAAACTTTCGAAAATGATTTGATACTGATTGTGAAATAATAATAGTCCGTAATCGATTCGTATTTCGTATGTGTCTGTCACAATCTTAACTTAACTGACGACTGATGACAGTGATGTCGCCGTTTTTTTTCGCTGTTTGCAATGATTTTGTAGGGTCCCCTGCACAGAGCGAGTTGTGCTTATTTTACATTAATTTTAATACAAATTCTCTGGTTCGGTGACATTATCAACTATCCCGTACAATTTTCTTCGTTATCTTGTGCAACATAAGAAAGTTGTAGGAAAGTTTTTATACTTTCTAATGCTGAAGTTTCTATATCAGTTAAAAAGAACTAATACTGATTTTTATAACGGAATTATATTAGTATATTTTTTATAATTGAACAGAATCTTCTCTTGCAATTACAGCTGTAAATGAATATATCTCTAATAATAAGAGAGATATGTCTAAAAGAATATGCCATAAGTATTATGCGCTATAAAGATATTATTGTCTGTTACTGTTGGAGCTAGATCCAGCGAACTCTATACCAATGTAATTCTATAATATTATTCTGCCCAAAGATGTAAAAATATACTGGATGTACCATTAATGAAAACAAGCACTTGCAGTAAATCACCCAGTATGATGATAGGATACTCACCTGTATGTTCAACGCCGCTAACGTGAAATTTTATCTGGGAGAGATGTGATAAACTAAAAATATATGAATATAAATTCCTATTTTACTAAACACTACACTACTTACAATTCCATCCTTATTGATCACTGCACCACTCATTCCTAAACCACAAATAAAGATAATTCTTTCTATCCAAAAGGCTGAATTTATTTATATACTTATCTGATATAATTTAAACTTGTTTTTATATAGCAGCTTAAAAAATAAAAACAAATCATACTCGACGATAAGTTCTATAATAAAGCATTGTCTTCTTTATTAAGTTATTTTTAAGTAATTTGACAAAACAGATAAACAAATTCTGTGTATGGCGACTAATATAAAGTTTCGATTGATGAAAAGTTTGATGTACCTACTGAGAACATTTTTAGTCCATACTCGTTCGAACAGAGACTGATTTTGTAATTATTCGCTGATTGTGATTAAAATAATCAGTTTATACATCGTTAAGTTTTTTGTGATTCAAGTTAGATATTGTATAAAGTTTCTATTTTAGTTCAATATTCTTTGAGGTTACCTTAGCAGATTACAAAATTAAAAAATAACTTGCTCTTAGAAGAATATGTCGCAAGTAATCTGTTATTTATCATCAGCAATTATCTAAGTACAATGCCTAGAGCTAAAGAAACAGAAAAATAACAAATTTACCATGTTCCTACCCGGGAACCATACAGGTATCACAATAATTTGCAATTATAATTAACAATACTGTTATAAGTTGCCCATGAAGCAAAACAAAAACAAAAAAAAATGAAATTAATGAAACTCTAGTAAAGTGGTATTATAATAATTGTTAATAATCTTAGTTTTGACAAATTTAAAAATAAAATAATAAAACTAAAACCAACAAACGTTCAATAATTATATTCTTTTCACTTCTATCAATCCATCATTTACTTCTTTCACTTTTCAATTTTTTATCGTACATACGTTCGTAATTACTTTTTGTATTTGCTTTGGGGTAATTTGGAATGGTTCTTGTACAGTTTGTGGCCTTGATTTATAAACTTGGCGGCCACTGAATTAAAGGAATATTTCAGCCTATCCAACAATTCTCAAAACGTTCGTTTAACCATTCTCTCACCGCAGCATCGTTATGAATAAGATTACCATCTAATTTAAACTTCAATTTAAAGAGATTTCTTAAAGGCAAATCATCTAATGCGTTCTGAAATTAATTATTAAGAAAATTTAAAAAACTATTCGCACTCAAAATGCCTCCAAAAAAGAAAGGGCCAATTATCTTTTAGTTATTCTACACCAAATAATAACTTTTTGCGAATATGGATAGATTCGAAAACGTCCTTGTCGAACCATGGAGCTCTCGACATGTATGGGGAAAGGAACGAGTGTAAAAAAAACAATGGAGGGGGTATTAAGTGGAAAACTAAATTTAAATTAACCTAAAATTTATAAAATAAAAAAAACTTAAGAAACTGTAAAAAGCGTGCTTCATTGAAAACTTTATAAACTAATTTGTCACTTTTGACAATTAGCTAATTACCTAATTTTTTGTTTTGCTTCATGATTAACTTGATATTAACAATAAACTAATGAAAAAAAATAAAGACTTGTAAATTTTTGATTTGGGGAATCACGTTCATTTTCCTTCACAAAGCACACTTCATCAAGCTCTACATTAAAAAAAATCCCGTTAAAATCGCACAATAAATAAAAATTTTACAGGGTGGCAAATGGGTCGCACTGTATACAAAGAAAGTACTTAGGTTTTTCGTTTTACTATATTGTCGGAAATAATATAATAGCAGGAGAAGGCAATGGAAAGGGAAAACAGCAAAATTGTAATTGTAAATATAATATTTAATGCGAGTTGCAGACTAACAACTCCCATTTTATGCCCGAAATCTTTCGCTGTTAGTACAGTATATTTTCAAGCAAATCGATGACGATCAAAACAGATATATGTATGAAACAAGTGCTTACTTCATTCTACCTTGCAGATTTACTGAAAGAGTAATAAAGAAAACACAATGAATTATTTTAAGATATCATTTATTAATAATAAAATCCAGTCGTAATTTAAATTTATTGACTTTCTGACTTGTTTACAACACATATTGCTGATAACTATTTAGACAATTCAGTAGTGTACTTTCAACAATGCTTGGGTCCATCTGAAAAGAATAAGAAAGAGTAAATACATTGATATATGCAATGTGTACGTACCGAAGGGATACCATTTTGACTGATCGGGAGCAGCTTCTTCTCTGGCAGAACCTAAAGCATTTCTAATTGCTAACAGAACACTACATGACAGACACATTGGAGGTTCCCCGATCGCTTAAAAATAGAGTTAGTTACTAGAAATGTTCAGGCATTTTGGAATTATTGCAGACAATGTTTAATTTTACAGAAACTTTGACGCCCTGTATCTCGTTAAGGAGGCATTTGCGACCCTATGTTTATTAAGACTTTTCGTCTTAATTTTTCATGTATTACCTACCCTAGAAGTCTGTCAGTGGTTTTTTGAATCACCCTGTATATTACAATCCTGATGTTGTTAGCTGAATATTGGCATTGAAGCATTGTTCTATTGGGTCTTCCCATGATGGATTCCCCATCTTGGTCCTTATTGGTTTTATTCTTTCTAAGAAGATGTCACAATCTTTGAGGAGAGCCTATAATAAGATACTGGATATTGTTCATTGTGGTACATTGTTTAAATTTTCTTGTTTTAATATCAGAAATTAATTAAATTTCATTTTCATCTTTTGATGATATCAACAAGAATTATTACCGAGATTTAAAATCAATATAGGGTGTCCGGAAAAATCATATCATGATGGATATACAGGGGAAGGTCAAAATAGTTGTAGTACTTCATAAAAAAATTTTTCCTAACGAGCTTCGTTGTCGAGTTATTCGCCTTCAAAGAAAGAAGTTTGAAAAAAAGTTCCAATTATAACTTTTAAGTTGTTACCATGACAACAATGAAATTTGGGAAAAGTAACTCATGGTAGTGTTCATTTCCAAGTTTAAACTGATATTCAATATGCCTGGATTATGCAGGAGCAGACGAAATTATCTATTTAAATTTATACATCTTTGACAGCGTTGCTAAATTTGGCATTTTTATTTCATAGTTCGATTCTCTCACTTTGCTTAAAAAATGTGTACCGTATATCAGTCGATATCTTGTACCGTTTTTGAGAAAATCGAATTTTATTAACAACATAGATACGTATTGTGTCAAAACATTTTTGTAAAAATCTTGGTTTCTATAGAATTAAAAGAAAAAAAAGAACAATTAAGTAAGATGTTCAATATGTGTGCACCTTGAACTTCAATGCGTTTTCTGATATTACTCAATCACCTCTATTCGAAAGAACATGTGGTGATCATTTCTAATGATGTCGGCGTATGTAATTATCCGATTTAATAAAACTTTTAAAATGGCTCCAAAGAAAAAAGCGAGAGGATTAAGATCGGGACCAAAACCAAAAAAAAATNTGCAATGTGTACGTACCGAAGGGATACCATTTTGACTGATCGGGAGCAGCTTCTTCTCTGGCAGAACCTAAAGCATTTCTAATTGCTAACAGAACACTACATGACAGACACATTGGAGGTTCCCCGATCGCTTAAAAATAGAGTTAGTTACTAGAAATATTAGAATTAAGTAACCCTTTTTTAAAAATATTTTCTACGCCACTGTTAATTTTGTCAAACGGGCACTATTTTCGTGTAAAGTATTCAATTGTCTATCGAATTGGTCACTTACAAAATTTTGCTTAAAGCTACAGTTTTGGAGTAATTTAGGTTTCAACTAATTTTGTCAGAATGAAATGACGTAAACAATAATCAACAAATTTAATGGTGAAAACGCAATGATAAAAAATGTATAGCTGGAAATAATGTAAAATATCAGAGTAGGTGCTGGAAGTGACCACCTTGTGATTCGACACAAGTTTCTACCTTCCGAGCTAAGGATCTTCTCATTCTTTCAAAAATCCCGGGCGTACTATTACAAATTTTTTGAAACGCTTGTTGAATTCGTTGCTATAATTCATCAATCGAATTTACTGGAGTTACGTAAAACAGCTCCTTAACATGACCCAAGTGTGGAAATCCAGAGGATTTAAGTCCGGTGAACGGGCGAGTATGTCATATTTAAATAATCTCTTACTTGTCGAGCGAAATGTGCCGGAGCGCCGTCATGATGGAACCAAAGGCTCCTCTGCACATCCAGTGGTACTTCATCTAACAAGCTGTTCAAATCATTCACTAAAAAATTAAGGTAAGATTGGCCATCTAGTCTATTTAGTAGCCTAAAAGGACCAATGAGCGTGTCGCCAATAATGCCAGCATGAATGTTAATTGAAAACTCATGCTGAAAATTTGTTATTCGAATGATGTGAGGATTTTCGTCGTTCCATAAATGATTATTGTGGAAGTTAATTATTCCTCGTCTCGTAAACGATGCTATCTCTGAATAAGATATTCACGAAAAATTGGGATTCTCTGCAAGCCTGCCAAGCAGCCATCGTGACCACTCTAGTCTTGATGGGTAATCTTGAGGTAGTAAATGTTGAACACGTTGAAAGTGATAAGGGTGCAATTGTTGTTCGCGAAGTGTTCTCCAAACACTTATTATTGACATTATTGACAACCGATGTTTAATTTTATTTTGAATAGCACAAGCCTACTATGCGAAACTAAGATGAATGAAAATAAAATTGGATTCACAAATTTTCTACCAACGTGATTTTCTTAAAAATGGTTGCTTTAATCAAAATTTTACAAGAGACCAATTCGATAGAGAATTTACACGAAAATAGTGCCCGTTTGACAAAATTAGCAGTGGCGTAGAAAATATTTTTAAAAAAGTATACATCAAACATTGGTCTTAAGGTGCTAACTACGCATAGCAAATTTGAAATAGAAATGTTCAGGCATTTTGGAATTATTGCAGACAATGTTTAATTTTACAAAAACTTTGACGCCCTGTATCTCGTTAAGGAGGCATTTGCGACCCTATGTTTATTAAGACTTTTGGTCTTAATTTTTCATGTATTACCTACCCTAGAAGTCTGTCAGTGGTTTTTTGAATCACCCTGTATATTCTTACAATCCTGATGTTGTTAGCTGAATATTGGCATTGAAGCATTGTTGTATTGGGTCTTCCCATGATAGATTCCCCATCTTGGTCCTTATTGGTTTTATTCTTTCTAAGAAGATGTCACAATCTTTGAGGAGAGCCTATAATAAGATACTGGATATTGTTCATTGTGGTACATTGTTTAAATTTTCTTGTTTTAATATCAGAAATTAATTAACTTTCATTTTCATCTTTTGATGATATAACAGATCAACAAGAATTATTACCGAGATTTAAAATCAGTTATATACAGGGCGTCCGGAAAAGTCATGTCATGAGGGGATATACAGGGGGAGGTCAAAATAGTTGTAGTACTTCATAAAAGAATTTTTCCTTTTGAGAAAATCGAATTTTATTAACAACATACACGTATTGTGTCAGAACATTTTTGTAAAAATCTTGGTTTCTATAGAATTAAAAGAAAAAAAGAACTGTTAAGTAAGATGTTCAATATGTGTGCACCTTGAACTTCAATGCGTTTTCTGATATTACTCAATCACCTCTATTCGAAAGAACATGTGGTGATCATGATCATTTCTAATGATGTCGGCGTACGTAATTATGCGATTTAATAAAACTTTTAAAATGGCTCCAAAGAAAAAAGCGAGAGGATTAAGATCGGGACCAAAACCAAAAAAAAATCGTAGGGAACTCTGGGGTCCTTTTCTCGGCGATTTTTTAATATACAGATTTCAAACCAATTGCATCAAATAGTGCTTACAAAAACATGATTTAAAAAAAAGCGTCTCGATCCGACCAATAGGAGCCGAGATAATTTTTTTTCTTAAAAACGGTATTCTGACTGTTCTATTTAATATTTTACAATAAACTTGGGCTCGTTGTAAAGTAGAAGACTTCCTTTATATGTTTTTTTTTCTGAAACGATTCGACCGCGAAATGACCAAATAAACATTCGTTAAAGGCAGCGAGATTCACGCGGCGGCCCGCGCGGCTGAGCGGTAGCCAGGAGAGCACTGTGACGTCATAATGCCCTTGCTGCGCTCCGTTTCACAAAATTCTCACTTAACAAATGGATTGTGGCATTTAGAAAGCAGCTACCGGAATGCTTTTTATTAAATCAACTTATTTTTTCCAATTGAATGGTGTAGGCAAAAGTCTGTGAAGGCCATCGCCAGACCCCGAAAAATACATATTTATTGACTTTTCACGTTTTCTTTTGTAATTATGCTTTCGATATTTTCACAAGAAAGTCTTTTTATGTATTTAAAACCAAAAGTCAATTATTTCTTTGAAAAAAGTGATCAGTACTCTATTTGCATGCTCAGAAAAGGTAGACGTATAAAATATTGCCTTAAAATTAACTGTTATTGCGTAAATTGTGCCTAGAATATTATTGAATGTTACAATATCAACATACATTTAAGTACTGCATTTTATAATATTTATAAATAAAAAGAACTGTTACATTCAATTCTACCATATTTTATTTAATTAATTGTATTATAAAGATGTTTTTTTAATTTTTATAAGAATATTAAAATTAATATAAAAAATATTTAATGTATAATATCTATATTTTGTGCAAAACCGTACTTTATTATCAACTTCGACGTCACCTGTTACATGGGTGTTGCACAATAATGAAAACGTAATATTGACAGTTAGTAGAAGGAAGCACAAAAAACGTTTAGGTGGGGAATTCTGGAAGGAAGCCTAAACAGTTGAAGATAGACAGTTGAAATGGAGACAAGTAGTAAGACGATCGGCGGGCAGTGTGACAAAATAGTGAAAAATAAAAGTGTTTAACCGGTATTAATTAGCAGGTAATATTCTCTAAGTACTTTGTTGTTAATTGTTCTATGTAATCTTATGATTGTGATGATTATAGACGTTTCATGATAATAATTCTGTATATGTTTAGCCTTCATTGTCTTATGCTCAGGGGCGTATATTTTTCTAACGTAAAATTGTTACAATTATTATTAAAGATTGCTCATTATTTATTACATGTTAAAATATGTATATATTGTCGTGACTGCCCGGATATTGCAATAACAACTCCTTTGTTTCACATTTAACTTGTTTTGTCATGATTACGTTGTTCGAAAAACAACTAATAAATCATTTCTTGTGCTCACTTTATGTCAAGACGCATATAAGGGCCTTGTTGAATTCACTAACATTTTCGCCCGTGAGGAACGAATCTGAAAAAAAAAGAATAATTAAATACAAAAAAAGAATTGCTAAAACAGATCTTCCGAAATCTCAACTCATAGCTGGATTGCCTCCCGTATGGGACTCCAGTACCTTCCGGCCCTGCCGGCTAACTAACACCAAACCTCTTCAGTTTTACTTGGAAGTGTGTATGTCTAATTCGAGTGAGGTGACATTTAGTGACACATTAAATGAGTCAGGTCTTATTTATCATTAGCAAAGGATCCTAATTTATGCCTTTGGTTATAGGTTGTTTTGTATTTATATTTGGGTAGTTAGAGCAACGATCGTGGGTTTCTCTGCCATTCTCTTTTCCCACAGGAGCTCTAGGTGAGCCTGGCACTTTCATTTTATGTTAAATGGTTGTTAATGTTTTTGTTGTTCTTTCTATTTGTCACATGTTTAATAAATAAAGTTAGGTGTATTTACTCTGCTTTTGTTTTATAAAATTAAACCATACTTCCCCTCTTTAAAGTTAGTAGCCAGCGCCTATCGGTCAATTAAAAATAGATATATACAACGTAGGTATACCTTTTGATGATCACATATTTTTGGCCACAACTACGTTTACTTATTTTTTCTTTTTTCGATCGAACCCGGGTATGTTATACTACAATTTTAGACTTCGATGAATTTTTCAAGTTAATTGTTGACGTTGTATAGCTCGTGATTTGAATGTGGCACAAAATCATCTCAAAAATCTGAAATTTACACAGACGCAAGATAATGTAATTACCTTTTGATCCATTTTTGCCGAATTTCGATATCTTGATCTGATTTTGAAATTGGGGGTGCGGATTGCTGGTATTTGTTGAGCACCCCAACAGTTATCTTTTCCTGTAGTTTCATCCAATTTCAACCAAATTCGTTATTTTTATTTAATGCTGAAAATTTTGCTCATTTTTTTTCTGCGCTAATTTTGCAATGTAGAAAAAATTTTGCGAGTTTTCGCAAAAGGCTGTCCTTGTAGCAAATTTGCTCAGGAACAAAATCGATAAGTATAACTCAGGTCGCCCAGACTATTTCAAAGTATCAGCCAATGTTGAAAGTAAAATTAAAAATAAAACTCCTTCTCGCTTTTAGATTTAATGGAAGAAAAAATTAAACAATGTTACAAATTATTCTAATAGCTGTTTTACATTGACAATTTATTGATGAATAAATTGACGAAGTTCTTCATGAATTAATTTACGAATTTATTGGTAAACAATGTGGTTTTACACTGCTACAGACTTTGTGCTTTTTTTGACGTATGAATCAGTTCTACCAATGAATCAAAGAAACAAATAAATTTCAAAAATGTCACCTTTCCACTCATAATTGTAGTGATACAATAGCGGTACCGTTCTGACATATTATATAAATATTAGTTTTTGTAAGTAACAAATCAGTAAAACCAATGCAAAACTAGCACGGCGCCACACAATTATTTACATATTCCAATAACATAACCTCATTACTGATATGAGGCTGGAAATCTGTTGAAGAAATTGACGAAAATTAGAACATGCTCTAATTCGTCAAGAACTTGATGAATAAATTCATGAAGTTATTTGACGGCAGATTTGGTGCATTGCACTTGTCCAATTTCTTGATGAAGCGACTTCATGAATTAATTGATCAATAAATTGTCACAACAGCTAGAAGATATTGGAACCCTAATAACACCTTATACATTGAAAACTAAAATTCTAACTTCTTTATAAAACATATTGTTTGTAATTATTGAGAGAATTCAAAAGTGTATTTTCAATAGTGCTTGTTCCATCTGAAAGAAGGAAGAATAAAACATTTTTTTCATAAATTTACGTTTAGTACATACCAATGGGATACCATTTTGGCTTATCGGGGGCAGCTTCTTTTCTGGCGGAAGCCAAAGCATTTCTAATTGCTAACGGAACACTGCAGGAAAGACACATTGGAGGTTCTCCAATCGCTTAAAAAATAGAGATATGTTCAGATGTAACTAAGAAAAATTAAAATTAATCGAAAAGCAATTTGTCAAATTCACTGCATCTAATCCAAGAAAATCTGTTTTTCTCTCATTTTGTGTTATTACACAATTTTACAGAATATGTCAAAACTAAACAAGATTTAATAAATATGAAAAAATTAGATTAGCAGAAATAATGGGTTGGGGAATAAGTAGAATGTCCGTTTTTTTTTCAAATTTAAAAATTCACAAATTCACATGAAAATTAAACGCATTGTCTAATTGACATATGTCCTTGGAAAGACGACTTATTGCTATATCGGATTGTGTTTTTCGCTGCTTCGTTAGATTTTCATTTATTTGAAATGGAGTGTCAACAAGTTGATAAATCTGAACATTTTCGGCATTCGCTTCTTTTTATTTTTAATCGAAACTGGGTAAACGCTAAAACCGATCAAGCTGCTCGGGAAGATTTGTGCCGTATATGGTAATGATACGATGAATGAACGAACGGCCTGTAGATGGTTTTCGCGTTTTAAAAAAGGTGATTTCAGCCTTAAAGACATAGATCGTTCCAGACGTCCTGCGGAATTTAATGAAGAGCAATTGAATCGACTCCTTCACGAAAATCCAAAATAATCAACAAGGGAATTGACTCAAGAGATGGGATGTGATCACAAAACAGTAGTAAACCACATACATTCGAAGGAAAAAGTTCTAAAACTCGGCGCTTAGGTCCCACATGTTTTAAAGGAAAACAATAAAAAATCAACGCTCCTCAATTGCCGCTGGTTTGCTCTGTCGTCATCGATCAGCACGTGGTCATAAGAAACGTTTTCTTCATCATACTGTCACTGGTGATGAAAAATGGCGTCTGTACATGAACTTCAAGCAGCGGAAAGAATGGTTAGGCCCCAAAACACAAACAACTTCGCGAACATGACCAGAACTTCATCCCCGAAGGATAATATTATGCGTCTGGTTGGAGTGGAAAGGGATTCTTTATTTCAAACCATTACCAATCAAACCGTCAACAATGAACTCTATGTCCAACAACTACGGCCACTCCACGAGGCTACTCAAGAAAGAAAATCTGATCGATGATACAACGTCATTTTGTTAGCATGACAATGCGCGACCACATATCGCCAATCCAAAACGACCATTTAGGAGTTGAATTGGTTATGCTGCACTCACCTTACTCTCCCGATCTCACGCCTTCTGATTTTCACCTCTTGCTTTTTGTCAAACTTATTACGCGGTCTTTCTTGTCTGTTAACGACAATGAGTTAGGAGCTTGATTGGATGAGTTTTTCGAGTCAAAACCGGAGGATTTCTACAGGGCCATCGAGAAACTTGTTGAACGTTAGGAGGAGATCATAAATAACGATGGAGAATATATCACTGATTAGCCTACTGATAATTGCATAGTTAAAAATAAAATATCTTAAATTTGAGAAAAACGGGCATTACTTGATTCCCAACCCTATAATTTCCAAATTCCGTACCTTTCGATTTGAGTACTCCCACAGGATTTGGATTTTTTTCTGGAAACTTTATCCTAAAGTTGATAGGGATGTCCTTAGCTCCAGGTGGTCTATAATTCCAAGTTCTATTCGTAAGAATTTTTCCTTCGTCATTAAATATGATTTCTTCTGTAGTGTAATATCCGATCCCTTAAAATATGAGATAAAAAAATAAGAATTTCCCTTATTTATTAGTTTCAGTTTTCAGTGCAAAAGGAATAAACTCACCCATTACAAATGCACCTTCCGCCTGACCCATGTCTATAAGGGGACTCATACTATCTCCTACATCTTCAATGATGTCTACCCTTAAAATCTGATGTTGGCCCGTCAAAATATCTACTTCTACTTCCGTAGCGCAAACTCCATAAATCGGATACTCCTGGACTCCTGGTTCATATTCGGAATAACTGAAATTATTCAAATTAATCGACCTGTGCTTCATAATACATGTACTTACAATCCTGATGCTGACAACTGAATATTGGAATTGAAGCACTCTTCTATTAAGTCCTTCCATGACGGATTCCCCATCTTCTTCCTTATTGGATTTATTCTATCTAACAGTACGTCACAAGCCTTAAGTAACGCCTGTAATAAAACATTTCCAATGATATGATATGATATAACAGTTATGGAAGTAAGTCCCTGTTTTAATACATTTTTTTTATTAATTCAAGGGAGGAGACCGATGTCGATTGTAACAAAAATTGCACTAATCACCTTGAAACCTAAATTTCAGAAGTATTTTCTGGCAAATTATATGAAACATGCGTTTATGCTTAGCAAATCAGAATTTGATCTAATAATTTCTTATTTTATGATAATAATTTTATAACAAAAAGCAGCACTGTCTGTAAAGAAATAATATGAATTAAAAGTAAATCATTGCAATAAAAGATATAAGCGGTGATTATAATATAAATTACCTAAAAAATCCAAAAGTGGAATAAAATTCGTTGCTTTAAATCTAGAAATATATACAGGGTGTTCCATAATGATGTGCAAATATTTTGAGGAGATATTTAGTAAGTAATTTGGGGGGGGGGGGTACTTCCAATATATTTTTTTGATTTGAGCCCCTTGAGAAAATATTCAAATCTCAAAATGGCCGAAAAAATTAGCTTTTATTTTTTTTCACGAAAACGATTAAACTTAGAAGTTTGAATTTTGGTACACGTTAACAACTAGTTGAATGATATTTTTTGGTACGTTTTTTTTCTGGTTTATGTTTTTGAATGAAAGAAATTGCACCCCTTGGTTTTATTTATCTCACATTTTTTTCTACGTTAGCCAATTCCAACAAGAAAAATAGCTTTTAATACTACATTTCATTTAGAAACTCTTTTTACTCCCATTTTTTCGTATACCTAATGTTTACGAGCAAAGAAATAAATTACTTTTCCTTGCCGATTAGGTATACATAATTAGTATAACAGTTATATACCAAAAACGATCGTTATTTTTGACATGCTTTTTGCAAAAATTCTCTTTTATTAACAGGAAAAAAAAAATAAAAGCTAATTTTTTCGGCCATTTTGAGATTTGTATATTTTCTCAGGGTGGCTCAAATCGACAAGATGTGACTTTTTAAACACCTCCTTAAAATATTTGCACATCATTATAAAACACCCTGTATATAAAAATAAGTCAAAATATGTATATGTTTTTTAGAAATATGAAATGGCAGCCAGAGCAAATAAAGTAGTAATTATAATAGCCACCTGAAGGACCTTAACATTTTCATTTAGATGTTCTTTCTGTTATACAGGGTGTTTTACAAGCTATGACAAACTTTGACAGATCGTAGCTGGGTTAATTTCAAACATTCTTTTCTCATACGAACATAGGTCCGATTCGTTATTGTTTAGAAGTTACAAGGATTTAAAAAAATATAATTTCATATTTCAAAAAAGTAGCCTGACAAATAAGAAGGATGGTTGCTATAACAATAATTATTATTTGTGTCATTTTGTTTATTCATTTGACACTTAGCTTTAAAGTGCTCAATAAAAAATGAATTTATTTACAACTGAAGAGTATGCAGATATTGTCTTTGAATATGGGTATTCAAATGGGAACTAAAGACAAGCAGTCCGAGAATGCCGACCGAAAAAAACCCAAATCGACATCAATCTGCCCACATAGTCTTTAGTGCATCATTTCGTAGACTTCAAGAAGAAGGTAACTCCACACCAAAAAAGACCATTCGTCCTACTCAAGTAAATGTACAAAATGAAGAAGATATAATTGATGCTGTCGTTGACAACTGTTCAATTCACAGACCAACAAAATTTAACTTTTTTTGTAAGCAGAAACTTGAATATATATTTCCGAAGGATTTAGGTGCACTGAATCCGAATCTGGCAGCAGAATTGCTCTATCACGTCAGGTTTTTTGAGATATCCTTACTTAAAAGTGCAAAAAACACTGTTTTTCGTCATATTTGAGGTTATGTAGTAATGCAATCTATTTTTTTCCAAAAAACTAATACATTGAATCTAAAAGTACAAGGCTCCATCCTTCGAATGCCGTTGAGTTTGCTCAAATAGTTTTTTTTTCGTTGAGATATCACATGTTGAAGTTTTTAAGTTTCTCAGTTTCTTAATATGCGAAAATCTACTGAGGGTTGCTTTCGCTGTACAGCAAGAATAAAACGCTCTCTCAACGGCAATAATAAACTATTTTATTGAAAACTAAATTGTGGAAAAAGAAGTGTTGACGGTTTGAGGGTTTGCTGGAGAGTCTTCTGTGTGTAGTCGGTCGTAGGTATATTGGTAGTTACTGGTAGAAGTCCCTGCTGGTTGGCGCCACTTTGCAGGAGTCGTCTTTCGGGAACCCCGTGGTGCATCCGGCGGCGTTCTTGACGTTGTGCATTAAAAATGGGTTACTTGCGAACATGTGTATCTACACTACTAAGGATCCCTTAGACATCAAGCAGTCGATGGCAAATCAGAATCATACCCATACGGTTTGTGGGTTTGGAGTTGGTGGGCTTGGGGTTTGTAAGCTTGTAGTTTGTAGGTTCGAGTTTTATGGGATTGGGGTGTGTGGGTTTAGGGATTGTGGATTTGGGATTTGTGCGTTTGTGGATTTGGAGTTTGTGAGTTCGTATGTATTGAAGGTTTCTGAGTATGAAGTTTCTGAACTGCAATCAACTGTTTGACGTCTCAGAGATTCTTAGTAGATTTTCGCATATTAGGAAACTGAGAAAAATTTCAACATGTGATTTCTTATCGAAAAAAAAAGATATTTGAGCAAACTCAACGGCATTCGAAAGGGGGAGCCTTGTACTTTTAAATTATATGTATTTTTTTTAAAAAAGAATAGATGGCATTACTACATAACCTTAAATATGACGAAAAACGGTGTTTTTTGCACTTTTAGATCAGGATATCTCAAAAACCTGACGTGATAGAGCAATTCTGCGGCTAGATTCGGATTCAGCGCACCGAAATCCTTCGGGAATGCATTTTAGTGTGTGTGCTTTTTGACCCTTGTTGACCTGTGTTATTGTTCGGCGTGTTTATAACAAGTAATCTTCACTTATCACCGAATTTTGTATGGCGCGTATTGAACAGAGAAATCTTACATCCGTTTCATCGTCAAAATGTACAAGCGTTACATGCTGCAGATGCTCCTTAGCGATTAGAATTTTATCACTGGTTACTTCAACAACATGCACAAAATGATAAATTCATTTCGCTTGTCATGTGGTCTGACGAAGCGTGTTTTACTAGGGGCGGCATAAATAATAATCATATTGAATATATCTGGGCGTTATAAAATCCACATGCAATTATTAGATCAAGACGATTTCAGCAACGTTTCAGTGTCAACGCTTAGGGTACCATTTACAACAAAATTTACTACCTGTACAGATTTTAAATGATCGAACAACCTTTTTAATTTCATTGATGACGTAGGGCTTATATATTGTTCAAAATATATCACGATGGTACATAGAGGGAGGCAACTAACTGCTTCTTTAAATGATAATTTTCCGAATAAATGGATACGTCAAAAAGTTCCAATAGCATAGCCATCACGTTCCCTAGATCTAAATCCTTTGGACTTTTATTTATAGGGACATTTGAAGCAGCTTGTCTACCAGGTTGATATCACTACTCGTCAGCAGTTATTTGAAAGAATTCAGGATGCAGCTAACCAGATAAGAAATGATCCAAATCTCATCCGTCAAGGGACGGAATCTTTAGTTCGTCGATGTGAGGTTTGCATTCGGGTCGAGGATGGACGTTTTGAACAATTTTTATAGTTTCAAGATTTATTAATTTAGTTAATAAAGGTTAACTAATGTTTAAACTTTAAACAAATTATTGTTATGACAACCATCATTTTTATTTATCAGGCTACTTTGATTGAAATATAAAACTATATTTTTTAAAATGCTTGTAACTTCTAAACAAAAAAGAATCGGACCTATGCTCATATAAGAAAAAATGTTTGAAATTAACCCAGCTATCACCTGTCAAAGTTTGTCATAGATCTTGTATAAAACCCTGTATAGTTTATTTGGATACTTACGTAACATATCCCTTCGTTTGTGACACTGGCACCGGTACATGAAGAATTGGGTGATATCACGTTGTAGCTTGGCTGAACAGAAACCTTGGATATCGGTATTCCCAATTTGTAAGCACATACTTGAATTACCTAAATGATGGAAGCAAGTAATAAATAGAAAATAAGTAGAGACAATTTATTAGGACGTTCAGTTTCATGTGTAGTATTACTACAAAACTAAAGACACGATCTACCTTAGTATTGATGCCTTGTCCGATTTCTATACCTGCGTGGCATACAACGACACTACCGTCGCCGTGGAAAATAGACACTGATACGGTGTAGTTAAAATTAATTATCAGTGTCCATACCATCGGCACCAAAGACATGCCCTTTTTCTTCCATCGATTTGTCTAAAAAGGTACTTTTATTTCATTTAATGAGTTAATAGACACTTTATAAATTTGAAATTTTGGTTAGTGAATTTTAATTACAAATTTCATTCGTCAGTTAAAAGTTTACCTCATTAAAAGTTCGTATGTTTTTCTTCCTATTAGCAATATCTCCCCAAGTTTGAATATCCTTCCAATATTTCATTATTTTAGGATATTTGTTTTTATCAATGTTAGCTTCTTTCACGTCAGCGGCATCCAAATTTATAGAATAAGCTATGTGCTCCATTATACTGTCTATACAACAAACGCCTTCCAGAGTTCCTAAAAATATACAAAAAAATATTAAAACAACTCAGGAGACAAAACATAATTTCACAAAAAATAACACTGGCAAAAAATCTAGTAACTCCTAAAACTCGAACAGTTATAATTTATTTAGAAACAATATTAATATTACATCCCGAACAGATACTTATGTTAAATCCCTGAGAAGTAATTACGGAGATATTCAGTTTAACTGCAATATTATCGTCGTCATCTGGTGTAGCTGATCAAGGTAGAAGGGTTCTCTAAAGCATTAGAAGAGGTACTGGTGCTGGAAAGAATTATCTCAGCAATTATATTTTTATTTGTAATAGAATCCTCGATGTCGTTTTATTGTAATTAAATTAGCTCCCGAATCTGCTAACAGAAATGCCGAAGATCTTCAGAAACAATGGTCAGTAAGCTGCTTCGGAAAGTACTTATCCCAACAGGTTGAACTGTACATTTGTCGTTAACGTAATTTAGAAAAAAGCGACGGTGGATAACGGCGGCTGGCCTTAATGCAGCTTAGTTATAGTAATAATTCATGTAGCTTCCAATGATACAAAAACTACGACGAACATTGGTTTTAGTCTCCAAAATATGAATCAATAAGGAGTTTTCTGATTTTTCAATATCATCCAATGTTAATTTACAAAGCTCTTCACGACGACGGTATGCTCCAAACAGTATTAGTTAAAATGAAATAAAACATTTTTTGAATGCCGACTCTTTAAAGCAGTAAAATTATACTCGCATAACTTCATCTAAATCAAATTCATCCTAGGAAACAACCCTTGTAGTATGGTTTATTCGTTTCTGGACTCTGTATATTACAAAATACAATCTGGTTGACTTCGTCAGTTGCGTATTTCTCAGGAATGGTGCACTTATATAGCAATTTCAATAAGAATACTCTTATGAGTATTACGCAAAGTATTAGAATACGCAAAATGAATTTTTTAATTATAATATACATATAAGTATTATGTAAAGAATCTAACCTCAAAAAGATATGTGGTAAAACATCACTGAGAAAGATCGTAGTCATAGGAGATCAAAATCTAACAACAATGATGTATGTACTTAGCACCCTCTGAAACTTATCTGTATCAAATGTCAATGCATTTATTGTTTTTTTTTTTTTGGAAAATATATGATTAGAATTTAATCTTAAAAGCCACCGTTGACGCCCTGTTTCTCAAAAACAAAAAACGATAAGAAAAAAATCGTCTTAATTTATATATGTTCTATCAGGTGAATTTATAGTATATTTTTCCAAAACATCCTGTATAAGCTGTATAGTCAAAGGTATAACATGAGTCAAAACGTGTCGATACTTGTCACATTATACCATTGTATCATTCCGCTTTGTAATTTTATTTTTATTTTTATTAATAAACAAAAATCTTGCTCGTTCAAGCACATTTGCCATCACAAATTATGTATTTATTGCATGATGGTCCACTCATGAGTTTAAATTAAAAAAATTCATTCTCAAAGTAATTGCAGTTCATTCCTTTTTCTCATTTTATCATCATCACCAAAAATGGCATAATTTTTGGGGGAAATAGACCAAAAAATGTAAGTACAAAGTATTGAAAAACAATAAATATAATTGGGCAGTTTTGTTGAAATATAGGAAAAATGAGTTCAATATTACTTTTTTTAGTGAAAGTCCATTCTTCTGCTTTTGTCCCTAATAAACTTTACAATTACCTACGTTTCTTGGTATTTCTCGCACCATTAGTTTTTCAAAAATAGCGTTAGTGTTCGTCTGTCTTTATAATCAACTTTTACAATCTTCTAAAAAACACACAAGAAGCAACAAGTAAGTAACAAAATTTTACACCACACCTGAACAAATTACATTTAATAAGAAAAAAGAAACATGAGTAGCTACAATTTAGTTAAGGTCGGACTGAACTGAGCCCAAACTGCATGGTAAATATGCGTTACTCTCAGTCCGTCTTTCACTGCTGCGCGACGGTAACCATGACCGCCCCTGTAAACACTTTACAGATGTAGGAGCGAGCTACGTATAAAGTTTTCCAACAAGTTGAATTAAATTGAGTGCACATTACAAATTAAACATTTCCTTTTTAACGTGTTTCATAGGGCCAATCTATTCAATTATCCTGATAACATTCTAAATTAAATTAATTTTAAATTATTTTTTTATACTATGAAATTTTCCAAGTCTTAGTAGCTGAAAGTTAGTACAACTTCTTCGAGGTCATATTTTTTTCCAAAATTCCAAGAATTTTCTACATAACTTGGCAACCCCGCACTAAAATGATAAACTGTTTATATTGCCATATATAGAACTTTCTCGGAAATCCGTATATTTAAAAATATACAGGGTGTTCCATTTAAAAAGTGTAATATTTAGCATGTCCCGTTTTTACTCATCACCCTGTATGTTTCGAATTAATTTTGTAGTTTAGGTTTCTTGATTCTGTATAACTTTTATATAAACTTTTTTTCTGTATTATGAGTAACAAGGGAGTTATGTTACTTTCTCACACTAATGGCCCCTGTATAGTATATGTGTAGTATAATAATAATAATAATAAAAACAGTATGTTGAAATAATCCACCTATAATAATAAACTAATACACAATTTAACANTTTTTTCCTTTTTAATATGACCGGCTATGAAAATACAGATAAAACTATAATTCTTACTTTTACAAAAGTCATATCTGTTGTAAAAATATGACATTTATTTTAAATGCACATCATATACCCGTGTGATAATATAATACTAACGAAATTTAATTGATAGGTGGATAGGAACAAACGGACCGATCAGATGGCCGCCTAGGTTACCTGATCTGAGTCCGTTGGACTTTTTCCTTTGGGGTTTTCTAATAGACATTATATTTAAAATTCCTTTTAATAATATTTTAAATACCTATACATTTAATGAATGCTACCCGAAGCGTTGCCAGAAGATGCGTGAAATGTGTGACAGTTGAGGGACGGCAATTTGAACATTTAGCTATCATTTTTGAAAGTTTTTATTGATGCAGGTACTTACTATTGTTTAATTTACGTTTAATATTGTAACTTCAGTTGAAGTGGAACAAAAATTTGAAAAATCTGTCTTTTCTTATCTGTAACATATATTTTAAATAAACGTCATATTTTTACAACAGATATGAGTTTTGCAAAAGTAAGAGTTATAGTTTTGTATGTATTTTCATAGCCAGCCATATTAAAATGTAAAAAAGGATCGAATTTATATATAAAACACCCCGTATCTCCTGTGTTTCGAAAAATAACTATAGCATATGGTATATTGCTGAAAAGCAAAAAAAATCTCCATTTTTTTAGGTCATAACCAGCTACCATTTCCATTCAAAACATTATAACTTTGGATCATAACTCCGGAATCGTAAGACCTACTAAAAATCTAATACCGGCATTCAATTCTACGCCAAAGAATTAGTCTTGAGCAGTTTTCACTTTAACTCTAACTTATTTAACATCTGAGATACAGACATGTTCAAAAGTGTCACAATAACGAGAAACGCCCTGTAACTCAGAAACAAATGAAGATAGTAAATTTCTGATTTGACAGTCGAGTTTGCCATGAAAATCGAGCTCGAGAACGTGGTGTCAGATTTATCATATCTTTAGTAGTTTCTGAGATACCCTGAAATCCCATCGAAAATGGACCAGCCTGTACATTACAAATTTAACATTTCCTTTTTAATGTGTTTCTTAAGGTTAATATATTTCCAGATAATATTGTAAACTAAATTTTAAATTATTTTTTTTTAATATGTTAATTTCTAGGGGGCGCCGCCCCAGAGCCCCCGTATCAGCCGCTACTGCATCGTAGTCTGCCATTAATTTTATTACCTACCAGGAGCTCTCGTAAAACAGTTAGCAGGGGTATCCGTGGAAACAGTATATATTGAAAAATACCATCTGCTTATATCATAGCCGTTCTGGTAGCCCTTTAACAAATGATCAATTATTGGTTCATTTCCACCAACACCCACATCAGAATACAGATCTGCTTCCAGATATTGAATAACCCCTTTATCGTTCACCCCAACCTCGTAGTTTGCGTAAAAGGGGTACCTCTTGCCGATAATGGTCATATTCTTCTCCAAAGGCAACCACATCTTCACAGGTTTTCGCAGTTTGAGAGCTGCCAAGGCAGCTGCTGCGCACAGCATGCTGTTCCGCGTGATTTTCGCACCAAAAGCACCACCAAGGCGGCGTATACGCAGGTTGATTCTGAAATAAAATTTTCTGCATAGGAAATTATTAATAAATAGTTGGTGAATTCAACGTAAATAATTATCTTCATAGTATCCTACTTATTAGTGGTCCAACCAAATTTCACTTGATGAAAAAAAAAATTGTTACCCAGACTTTTATATGTGGAAATGGTAAAAGGGCTTATAATAAACGAAAAAAAAATAAATGCATGAGCAGGGGCGGCGGAGGGTTCATTTGGGGGGTTGAAAAGTTATGAAAAATTGTATCATCGGGATTTTTGGCGAAAGTTGACGTCAAACAAAAAAGTATCCAATATAAAAGTTGTAATTCATGCAAAAATCTACAACTTTTGTAGGGATAGAGTTTTCAACATAACCTCAAAATTTCCGAGAAAAATGCGAAAAACAAGTTTTTTTCGTTTTTTATTTCTCTGTCTTAAATAACCTCAAATTTTTTTAGATAAAAAAAATCAAGAAGTTTCTGAGATATTCATTTTTTTCGACCTGAGACACTTTCTATTCAAAGAAAAATTCTATTTAAAAAAAATCATCGTACAGAGTTCTGCCGGTAATCATTTTTTTCGTTTTGACATATTTTTTGGTGAAATAAAAAAAATCTGTAATCACAGTTCAAAAACATGCTCAGTAGATAAGCTAAGGGCGTTCAGAGCCAAAATCCCATGTATTTTCTTATGAAGGTTCAGATTGCAAATTTTTGGTGAANGTTAATATATTTCCAGATAATATTGTAAACAAAATTTTAAATTATTTTTTTTTAATATGTTAATTTCTAGGGGGCGCCGCCCCAGAGCCCCCGTATCAGCCGCTACTGCATCGTAGTCTGCCATTAATTTTATTACCTACCAGGAGCTCTCGTAAAACAGTTAGCAGGGGTATCCGTGGAAACAGTATATATTGAAAAATACCATCTGCTTATATCATAGCCGTTCTGGTAGCCCTTTAACAAATGATCAATTATTGGTTCATTTCCACCAACACCCACATCAGAATACAGATCTGCTTCCAGATATTGAATAACCCCTTTATCGTTCACCCCAACCTCGTAGTTTGCGTAAAAGGGGTACCTCTTGCCGATAATGGTCATATTCTTCTCCAAAGGCAACCACATCTTCACAGGTTTTCGCAGTTTGAGAGCTGCCAAGGCAGCTGCTGCGCACAGCATGCTGTTCCGCGTGATTTTCGCACCAAAAGCACCACCAAGGCGGCGTATACGCAGGTTGATTCTGAAATAAAATTTTCTGCATAGGAAATTATTAATAAATAGTTGGTGAATTCAACGTAAATAATTATCTTCATAGTATCCTACTTAGTAGTCCAACCAAATTTCACTTGATGAAAAAAAAAATTGTTACCCAGACTTTTATATGTGGAAATGGTAAAAGGGCTTATAATAAACGAAAAAAAAAATAAATGCGTGAGCAGGGGCGGCGGAGGGTTGATTTGGGGAGTTGAAAAGTTATGAAAAATTGTATCATCGGGATTTCTGGCGAAAGTTGACGTCAAACAAAAAAGTATCCAATATAAGAGTTGTAAATCATGCATAAATCTACAACTTTTGTAGGGGTAAAGTTTTTAACATAACCTCAAAATTTCCGAGAAAAATGCGAAAAACAAGTTTTTTTCGTTTTTTATTTCCCTGTCTTAAATAACCTCAAATTTTTTTAGATAAAAAAATCAAGAAGTTTCTGAGATATTAAATTTTTTCGACCTGAAACACTTCTATTCAAAGAAAAATTCTATTTAAAAAAATCATCGTACAGAGTTCTGCCGGTAATAATTTTTTTCGTTTTGACATATATTTTTTGGTGAAATAAAAAACATCTGTATTCACAGATCAAAAACATGCTCAAAGATGCAAAAAAGTAAAAAATTACTTGCAGCAATGAATTTTTCAGTAATTGTTGATAATTTGTTTAAATTAAAAAGCACTCAAAAACTGATTACACCATTCAATTCTATGGAAAAAAAAATATTTAAAAAAACTATGTCTCATTGTTTGACCCAAAACTTTATTTTTGTAAGTACAGTATTGCTATAAACATCTAAGTCGAATTACAAATGCACAAATGATGATTTGAGATTTCAGCAATACAAAGTATTAACTACAAAGACGAAATCCGAAAACCCGAAATTTTGCAAAATTGTTTTATTTTTTTTTCTGGCTTTATTTGAAAAGGAATTTTAAATAAATTGCATATTTACATTGCCACTTTTTTCGCTCTATCCAATGGCGTCAACATTTTTGCAATCCAACGTTTCGTCTTTGAGGGGCCCTCATCAGATTAATTTTTTTAAATATATCGCTGCTATTTTTATGACAAAATCTAGTCATTTTTAATTCTGTATTAGATGATATTA